CAGCCAAAAGTTAGTGGTTTTTTCTACAGGCCGCTAATGGACACTAAAGGGCCAAAATGCTGTGAACAAGCACATTAGCGCAGTGTAGCAGGCACTTTTTAGGGGCCTGCATGAATAGTTTTAGCATGGACACAATGGAATTCTGCTACACTACGCTAAAGCTTAGCGGAATTCTGTTACGTTATGCCGCACTAACCGCTACGGTTAGTGTAGTGGCCCATTGTTGATGGGGGGGGGGGGGAAATCCCTAATTTAGGCTGCATGCATAATTAATGTAATAGATATATAAGTGAAATTTAAGAGGCGTAGCAGTATGTGAATATGGGGTTGTACTGTACTGGGGGTATCTGTGTAGCTTGAGGGTTGTAACTTGTGATTGCTGGGTGAAATGGACTGCGTTGTGTTCCAGGGACACCTCTGTAGTGAACAAGGGGAAATTTACCAGTAGAGTCTGGTTCTTGCGCCATATGGCAGGATTTTTGAGAGACTAGTGTGGATGATAATATGAAAATAAAATGGATAAGAAAAAAAACCTTTGAATTTTTCACATTTTTGATTACAATACCACAACATCTCAACCCCCCAAAAACAAGAACACACAAAAAAAAAAAAATCAAAATTTTGGGTCCCAACCTTTTGGAAATCCCAAAGCCTTGTGCATCAGTTCCCAGAAAGCTTGCTGTTGCAAGCCCAGGCCTGGGATCCAGTTTTTTTTTGTGCCACATGTTTTCTTTGTTTTTTTGTCTCCTGTAGAGATGGCCCCGGCACATCCGGATATCCGCGCAGATTTGGATATGTATACGGCTTCTTTTTCCGGGGAAATTTCCATCCGCACCCGCTGGGGGGTATCTGTCGGCCGCAGCGGGTATCCGAGTGGGTATCCACGGATACCCGCCCTCTAAATTGGCGGCAAGGCAGCCAGCTGGAAGGGTTTCCTTCCAGTCAGCAAGGTACGTGTACCTCGTTGAACGGAAGGATTTCCTTCCAGCCGGCAAGGTAAATTTACCTCGTCAACCGGAAGGATTTCCCTCCAGCCATCAAGCATGTACCTCGCCGGCTGGGAGGAAACCCTTCCAGCCGGCCATCTCCCCTTTCGGCCTTGGGTATCCTTTGGGATACCCGGATACCCGCCAGTGTTTTGCGGAAAATAGGCCATCTGCACCTGCTGGCGGATACCCGCCAGCAGATAGTGGGTATATGCAACAGATACCCATTGACCATCTCTAGTCTCCTGTGTGTGGGCTCATACAGCCACAGTATTCTAGGCATTATGGACCAACTCCCATATTTTTAAGTTGAAGATTTGAGAGTTGGACCATCATAATCCTGGCAGATCTTAAAGTTGGAAACACTCATAACATCAGTTGACCGCCAGTCCTTGCCAGGCAACAGCCAGGTGCCCGGAGCCCCATCAAGGCCTTGGCCACAGATTTGCAACATGTACAGTCATGTGTACAAGTTTTGAGGCACAAAAAAGTGAGGCCAAAAAAAGATTGGGATCCCAGGAGCTCGCAAACACAAGCTTTCTGGGAACTGCTGTATAAGACAATGCTGCATGCCACTGTAGTTCCAAAAAACAGAAAAATTATGCTGTTTTTTCATTTTTTGAACTTGAACCAGAGCCTAGCTGTGTTAAATTTTTCAAATATGATGTCCTTTCTCCACAAACAATTGTGACCCTCTTTGATTTCATTTTCTGACAAATTGATTTTATGAAATGAAAAATTCCATACCCAATGAATCTTCCAGATTTTTTTTGACTACCTAGGTGTTGTACATACAAGCTGGTAAGCCTTGCAGGATTAGCTAAGCTTGAACTTTGAAATCTTTTTGAAACTAGCCGTGAGCTTTGTATACCACGCTCTGGCTCTAGAGCACCACCCATTTTGTAGCCAACACAGCCCATAAACAGGTGATAAAATTTTGTCACAGTGAAGTTTTTCCAAATGTGATTGCACAAGTAGCCACAGTGACTGCGGGTGAGTTTCTGCAAAAGCATCACTGTGACAAGATCTGATTTTTGACACCTGTTTATGCTGTGCAAGCAGTATTTTTCACCCACTTGATTGATTCATGCATCACCCAAACCCTGTGTTCAATCCTGATTGTTGATAGCCAGTTTTGGAACTTGTACCAAGACGAATGCACTTTCTTGATATCTGCGGGGGTGTTGGGTGCTCTGCTCAACACCCAGCTATCCCTGGCTTCCAAATTTGAACACTCAACAGAGTTGGTCCCAAGTTTACTATCCTGATGCCTCTAGAATATCCTCTGAAATGAAGGAGTTGTCAATTGCAAGACTGTGGCCATCTACAATGTTGCTCAAAATGCAGCCAATCCATCAAACTTAAACAAGATCCCTCCAAGGAGGTTGTGTAGTGACCTCCAAAGAAAGGACTTGCATCCAATATGGCAAGTCTTGCCCTAGGGAGTCCAGCCAATTGGCTGTGAGTAACTCCCCCTCCCCCATAGCACCCACTAGCACTCATCTACACATCCCGCCTCTGGTACCATTGAAATTGCAAGATTTATAGGATAATTATTGTATTCTCCAGATCTTTGATATATTTTCCTGCTCCTGAGAAACATCCTGTAAAGTTGGGGCTGTGGAAAATATCTGTAAACAATCCTTCTTTCTCAAGGCTAGATGTTTCACCCAAAGATCTGGTCATAAATGCATGATTTGGTGAAACATAGTATGTGAGATTGTGTCACATGAGTAAAGAATTAAAGCAATGGCTAGACATCTGAACACTGAGAGATCTAATTCCAGCCAATACAAACACTTGCTATTGAAAACTGGATACTATGCAATGTGTGCAGAATCTAACAGGAACCCGTGAGAGAGTCCAAGATCTGATGAAGTCGGATGCAAAATGTGATCTTGGCAAAAATTCAGATCATTGCCAACTAAAAAACACCAGAGGAGAAATGGTTTTAAGATGAAAAATTACAAAAAATGATTGGTCTGGGAGCTGAGATGATAAAGTACAATTCTGTCTACTCAGAAGTATTACAAGTTGAAAATTACATTTTTAAATAATTTTCAAAGACAAAATAACCAGTTTTTTGGAGGAAATCTCATTTACCTTGAGTCACCGGAGGGACTTTGGAGGTAAGCCTCTGCTTTGGAGAGTGTCCCTTTGGATGTGGGGTCCCTTCAGGACCCTCCAATCACAAGGCTTATGTCAAGCTTGCCAATCCATCCCTGTTGAATTCAAAGAACCACACCAGTCCAGTCATCTGTTCAATGCAATTTCAATCACAATCCTTCCAAGGGTCATGTCACCCTTTATGATTAATCCCACTAGAGTGGTACGTTGGCCCTCCATAACCTAGCTAGGAAGTTCCAATTTCCCAAAGGATTTACAATCCTCACATCCAGTCCAGAACAAATCCTTCCATCTCTGGCAACAAAACCTTATTTTCTTGATGTGAATTTTGGAAAAATGACATATTTTACATGAGGTGCTCTTTAATGGATTGTGTCTGTGGACTACATATCTGAGATCCCTGCGAGTCCTCAACAAAGAACCAGTTTGATAGTACTGCAAGCAAGCTTCCATGAGAACATTGTGGCAACACAAGGACCGCACTGCCCTTAGCACGCCTCATCTGACAAGTGCAAAGTGGTCAACAAGCCTCAAAGCAGACATCCCCAGCAGAAAGAAAGTTGTCCCCATCTTTGAGGCATGTCCCTTTACACATTTGGGGGGGAGCCAAAAAAGGATCAACAAATAAGGAATGCAAACCGGTCTTATGGGGCAAGCAGAGTAAGGAGTTCCACTCCAGCCTTTATTTGAAAGAACAGACATGAGGAAGGATCTAATCCATTTACACCAGATCACTATACATGTACAATTAATAAGGAGCCCAGTCTTTGAAAGTACAAGAGAGCTCAACCTGTTTTTTTTTTTTTTTAGTTCTGTACACAAGTTCAGAGGACAAACCAATGCCAAAGGATGTGGCAGCCTACCAAGTCTTTGAGTCTCAGACTTTCCCCATGTCCCTGTGATCAGAAGTCATGTACCAGATAGGTTGACCTGCCTCATTGTGCTACACTGTAGTCTTTTTTTGTCAAGCCGACTGCATCACCTATCCACAATCTATCTGCAACATACATCATTCCTATTTCAGGCTGTCAATGGGCCGGGTTTGGGGCCAAAAACCAAGCCCAAACCCGCCCCGCCTTGGAACGTGGGGCGGGCCACCATTCCAAAAAGTATGCCCAAACCTGCCCCCGCTTTGAGACAGTTGGGCTCGGGTCTGCCCATCATCAAAAAGTTTTTTTTTTGGCCTGAGTATTATTCTTGGCCAACGGGGTTGGGGTTTGCAGAGCGGAGTCAGATATATAACTGTGGTATCCTCATTTGAGGCAGGCATGGGGGTTTCCTTGGTCTACTTTTTTTTTTGAAAGTTTGAGGCTGGGGGCATGACAATGAGATATGCAGCAAACAGAGATAGTTGAGCTGTATATCCAGGTACTGATGGGGCCATGGTTATGGGATTCTGGGCCCTCAAACCTAATAATATGTACTGTGAGTACATATTATTATGTTAATTCTGATGATATTCAGACTCGGGATTTTCATGGGCCGGTGGGCCAACCCACATCCAGGAAAGCCTGCCCAAACCCGGCCCATGAGTTTGCTGGGTCTCCACGGGTCGGGTCACACTTGGGTAATTTTCCACCCTTTCCTGTCCAAACCCGCCCCAAGACCCGTCGGGGTGTGGGTAGCCCATGGGCGCCCAAGCCCATTGACAGCCTGATTCCTATTCCTCAAACTCACATGTCTTGTTTTGTTTTGGTCAGCTAGTTGACCCAAACATTGCGAATTCCAGATAATACCAAGCAAGCACTTGTTTCCCAGCCATCTACAAAAAAAAGAAAACCCCTCCTCAATGTATTTCAGTTTCAGTTTCAGTTTTAATTTTATTTAATTTTACATATATAAGTATATATAGATATATGTAGATACCAAAGAAAAAAAACAAGACAAGACATTTTCTTCAGGAAAATGTGGACCCTGAGAAAAAAAAAAAACAGGACATGTGACCAATAATCGTTGGGAACTACAAGATATGCAAACATATGTAAGTGTATTTGGAGATGTATATCTTGATTCTCATGAAGGAGATCAACATAAGTAAGAAAGAAAAAAAAGAGAGTGAGTGAGAGAAGAGAAGAAACCCATACAATGGCACAAAAAAAAAGAAGGAGGAGGAGGGGGTTCCGAAGGGGGATAATTGAGGGTCAGGAAGCCCGGAGGAAGAAAGTGTCTAACCATATAACATGAGCTAAGAGGATTGAGAAAGCGTGAGAAAGAGAAGAAGAAGAAGGCAGTTTATTTAGGAAGGGTTAAGATGCGGAGGATTTGCGGGACGGAGCACAATTTGAGAACGCGGAGTTCTTAGAAGATCTGAGGAAGATAGGCAGGGGAGGACAGACGGGGGTAGAAGGATGAAGGGCAGAGTCGGAGTCGGAAGGATGGGGCGGAGGGGAGGAAGAAGGATGAGGAGGGTGATCGAGGGGCAGGAGACCGTTGTGGAGGGGAAGATGAGGATCGAGGTCGTGAAGATGATGGGGGTCGGCCTGGTTGAGGAGGACGTGTCTGGGGTCGAGGATGGCGCTTTTGACGTTGACTCTGCGGGCGACCAGTTCGACTAGTTCGGGGGTGATCAGGAAGCTTTCGGGAAAGCGGTCAGGCTCATGGCTGGGTTCCGAGTCGGATGAAGAAGAGATGGCGGTGGAGTGTTTGGGCTTGGCGAGGCCGGAGCTGATGAGTGCGAAGGCGACGTCATCAGATCTGAGTCGGGTCGACCGGGAGATCTCCTCGAGGGAGATCTCGATCGTCTTCTCCGGTGTCGCCATCATCTTCGCCGTCCTGGGAATCTTCTTGTTGGTGCCCAGTTGCTTGTCCAGTTCGGCCCCGAGACGCGGCGGTGGAGGGGTGAAGAGCGTGCGGAAGAAGCGGACGAGAACGGCGGTCCAGAAGCTCAGATATCCCCGGGCGCCCAGGGTCGATAAGGGGCGCTCCGGGGTGCCTAGGATCAGCTTGCGGGAGTCGTCACGAAACGAGCCGATCTCTTTGTCGGCCTCGAACCGGTCAAGCTCGTAGCTAAACTCGATCAACAAGGTCCCATAGCCCTTTTTCTGATACGGGGGGAGGGTGACGATACATGCTAGATTATAGCCATCGTAGCTGACCTTCTCCTTTGAGAAAAACCCCATGATGGTCTCCCGAATCCCTCCCGTCCTCTGATCTGATTCGGCGCTGGTGAGGACATAGAAGTTGAAGCCTTCGACGTCGAAGAAGATGTACTTGTGGTCGATGAATAGCTTGCCGAATAGACACAGACATTGGCAGTATAACTTGGCCCTAGATCCGTCGACTTCCCGGATGATTAAGTTCCCACTCTGGTATACTTTCCGACCTGGGGGATGAGTCACGTTGCACCGCATCTAATCCATCGATCCATCCATCCAGATCGCATTAACAGGAGACCAACAAAAATCAGCTGTTTTCTCCATTTCCTGGATTCGTACGTAGAGATGGCTTGGCTTGCCTTGTGTTGGAGATACGCCTCGGATGAAAACAAGTATCTGAGACATCCATCGCAGACGTATAACTTGAGAGCGGGAGGAGGATCGGGCTGAGGGAGATGGTTTGAGGTAGGGGTTGGCTTGATTGGGCCGGTGTCGGAAGTGAGGCTGGATGGATGAGACTGTGGAGTGGGGTAGAGATGCTTAGGTGGGACGGGGAGGAGGGGATGAGTTGGATGTAGGTCTGAGTGATTTGAGGGAACCGATGAGGTAGATTCCAAGGACGAGAGGGAGTCTGGGCTCGGAGACCGATCGCGTTTTCGGTCTTGATGATGGTTGATGTTCTCCTGCTGTTGATGTGGTGGGCTTGAGTTGGAGGGTGAGGTGGGTAGGGTATTGTGGGGTGCCTCCTGGAAAGGCTGGGTGGGATGTTTGTTGTTTCCCTTCTTAGTTTTCTTACCCTGGAATGGCCCATTACTCTGTCGTTTCGAGTGTGGTGCTGTTGGTTGATTTGGTTGAGGAGGGGGTGGGTTTGGATGGTTGTTTAAGGTTGCTTGGCGGTACTCTATCTGATCGATCACGTATGGAGATGGGAACCAGGCGTTGATCTCGTAGCGTCCAAAGACGACCAGGTCGACATCCACCAGTGCGACCTCCAAGGTGGGGCCATGCGAGGTGGTATCCTTGCCGGTCCTTCTTCGTTTCTCTGATGGCGGCTGAATGGACAGAGGAGAAACAAAGCAGAGTCAGTCGAAGCACATCAACTGGTGGGTGAGCTGCCCTGACTTACTTGATCGGTTGGATGGGTGTTGTTTGAGTGTGCTTGGTTTGTTCTGAGCATGTTTCATGTAAGGAGAAGTATTTAAAATTTTCAAGAAGATGGTCGATTGAGAAGAAGCAGAGAGTGGGAAGGAAACCACTGAGTTCTTCGAGGGAGAGAACAACCCCTAATCAACACATCACCTCCACACTCATCACAACCATTCACCTTCTTGTATCTTACATCCCTCACTTGATATACTCAGTCATCACACCCACTCCAAACAATCTCAAAGCTACATCAAAAATTAGTCTCTCAAAATATATATGTAGCAACAAAACACAAAACAAGTTTTTCCTTCTGCTAGTGCATCTCAATCCTACATAGTCAAAAAGGCATGCTAAGTTGTCAAAGATCCCGAAAACACACTATTGAACGAGCTAGAAAAAGGTATGAGTTCTGTGGGCCAAAAGAGGGACTCATGGAGATTGCACATTAATTCAAGTAAATACATTAAGTGAGACTGGTCCACCCCAGTAAATTCTGGAGTTCTGCCGCCAACCGCATGAGGATTGTGTGGAAAGAACCGCCCCTAGGTTTTTCTAGGTGATACATACATAATTATGGCCCACGCATTTGAAAATGATATGAAGTGTTTAGAAAGTGTTGCCAGAATCCGGGGCTTTTGAAGACCAATCCCCTTTTGTATAGGCGGCTTGCAGGGGGACATTGAAAAAACAAGACAAATGACCTCCAAAAAAAACCCAAACCTCAGGGCCCCTTAGATTTTATATTGGGACAATCTAGCTTTTGCGGCTCCAAATTGCTTCTGGAAGTCCCACAGATCTATAATCTTGAAATGAGAAGTGGCCATGACTTGGTGTGCTTTTGATGCCCTCCTGATCAGTCCTCAATGTTGGGATAGTGAACCCCGTGTGTAGTAGTTGTATGCTTATACTTAGATATGCTTCTAACAAGTGAAGCAGCCCACTGTTACTCTCTTGTACTGGTTTCTCACTTTCTTTCTCTCTTCTTTTCCTTACTGAATATAATAACTACATTCACCACAAGTCCCATTTTGTGAGTCCTTGGTATCTTCTTTGTTTTAGTACTCACCTGGGTGCCCCTCCACACTCCATTCAAGTAACACCCCAAATCATGATTCCAACCAACTTACAGGTTGAGAGCTGTCTTCCCAAAGCCTACAAAAAACCCACAATTTTTTTTCACCACAAAAAAGGTAAGATCTTAGGTGATCACACTCAGCTGGGAGGAAGTGATCCATAACCACCATCATTGCTTCCTTCTTTTCACACACTCACAATTACCATCTCATGGTCTTCATATCAATCAATCATCCACAGCCTCCGACAACAAGACCCAGACCATTTGGTTTTTTTTTGATGGGGGGGGGACAAAGTTTTCCCAATTCCTCCCCCAAAGAAACAAGGGTCTTGATGACACAACTCCCAGAAAATTGGAGTTTCCGACTCCCAAATGTAGGGGATGTCAAGAGGCCTGTCTGCAGACGGTCCTCAGGATGTCCAACCCCAAAAGTGGGAGTCAGACTTCCAAAACCTTCAAAAGGTTTGGGAGCCATACACTCTCAGCAGCCAGGAGTACAACTCTTAGCAACCAAGAGGGATTCCCGTCAGCCACTGAGGGTGCATGCTCTCAGCAACCAAGAGGGATTCCTCTGGGCCACTGAGAGCTTTCCACAACCAACACCCAATCCCCCTGGGGTCTTTAGAGCAACTCCACTGCGGGGTGTAAACCGCGGGTGTAAAAGTTGTGTGATGCCTCCCGAATTTTGATTTTGAAAGTTAAAACCTGGTGTGTCCTACACCGGTGGAGTGTAAGGCCCCCATTATAAACGCTTTTTTGAAAAATATTTGAAAGTTTTTGAAAAGTTTTTGAACTTTTCTTTCTTTTCTTTTTCTTTTTCTTTTTCTTTTTCTTTTTCTTTCTTTTTTTTTTTCTTTCAAAAACTGACTCAAAAACTTTCAAACCACCTCCGGAGGTGCTTTGAGATCTCAAAAACTTCAATTTTGCAAACAATACACAAGTTGGGTCGGTATTGGCCTGTATGGTATGTATCAGGTCATACAGATAGGCCTATTCTCAAACTCACTCCAGTAGGACATCCCGGACTGTCATCATCCGCCAAAATTTTCACACCTGCAGCCAACAAATACGTACGGAATATGGAATCTCACGAGCAATTGACCGGTAACCTCCTCAGCCCGCCAAAATTGACTGGGGTCCCCCTAGGGCCCTTCTTGATTCCTATCTTCATGCCTGATGTTGTCTTAATCATTGCCAAGCCTTGTAGTTCATGCTGTCCTATTGACCATAAGTCTTGAGAATTACCGATGTGTGTAGTAGCATCATTGACCGCATCATAGAAACAAACTACCGGGTCGCTTCTCACTTGGCAAGCGGCGATCCTTATTTGAAGGGACTGTTTCTATCCATCTGTCTGGTGAAGTCCGGCCCCTGGGACCGACAAATCACACAAGGGATTGTTCGCGCTGTTCCTCCCCCCCTGTATTTGCCCCCCCCCGCCCTCATACAGGGCCCCTGGGCCTGGGGAGTTTATAAGTGCAGAAAGTATTCGAGAAGTTTTTGAAAAGTGTTTGAACTTCTTTTTGGTTTCTTTTTGATTTCTTTTTGGTTTTCAAATACTTTTCAAATAAAAAAAGCCAAAATCCAAAAACTTGGTTTATAATCAGGGCCTAAACCGGGATGTAAAAACGCGTGAAACGTTTTGTTTGTGTGTGGAGGTGTTTGATAGATGGTGACAGGTTTCACACAAAATGCTCACCGTTCATGGGATGTAGGGAGATGTAGAGGGGAGCCAGATTTGCACTCTCCGGGACGATTTTTACATCCCAGATTGATTTGGCTCCCTGTTTTCATCCCGCAGTGGGGCATGGTTTTTGAATTGGAGACCGGGGTGTAAATGAGGTTTACACCCCGCTGTGGAGTTGCTCTCAGAGGCCAGGAGTACAACTCTCAGCACCCAAGAGGAAAATCTCTGTCAGCCACTGAAGAGCACATGTTCTCATCGACCCAGAGGGGATTCCTCTGGGCCGCCGAGAGCCTTCCAGCACTTGACTCCCCCCCCCTGGGGTCTCTGAGGGGATCAACTGCCTGTGGACCATCGGCAGTCCAGAACTCCGGCGATTTTCCGGGAGGTGTTTAATCAAGACCCCAAAAACAAAGAAGAAAAAAAAATCAAAGAACCTTCTTCCCTCCAATGACCATCAATGACAATGACAATGACAATGACAATGACAATGACCTCCTACACATAAACCAAAAAAAAAAAAGAGAGAGAGAGAGAAGAGTAGAGAAGAAAGGATGTTAGAAGACTTGGACAAGAGAAAACGATGGGACCCAAATGCTAATGATGGAAAAAAAAGGTATCATCAATGAATATATGAGCAAGTAAAAAAAAAAAAAAACAGCGTATAAACATGACTAGAAGTTATAGACAGATTGGAGTCAAGTGAAAAAAAGATCCGAAGAGATGTTCGCGCCCACAATTAAATATATATATATATATATATGTATAATACACACAGAGAGAGAAAAAGAACCCATGAACTGAAACCCAAACACACAAGCACACACACACACAAAGAAAGAAAGAGGGAGGGATACACCGTACATCACATAAACAAGCGCAAAGGGAGCGGGATAAGAATGTTAAGAGAGGGGGGGGGTGTCCGGTTGATTAATGAGCGGGCCAGTCGATCGCATGCATGAGACTACAAAACAGAGAGAAAAGAAGTATTAGAGATCGTGGTAGGATAAGTAAGGAGACGACGGAGAGGGGGGACGAACTTGAAGGATTCGAAGGGAGTATCCTTGGGCGTCCGATGGGGGACGAAGTCTTGGACATTAGCCCAGGCCCTAAACATCCTGTCAAACCAGACCAACAGACGACTTCAACATAACCATCCCAGATCCGGATAAGAGAGAGAAGAAGGGGGGTACGAAACTGTCTCCAATAACAATGCACCCCGGCCGGCGAAAGGTAGTGGCGGAAGAGCGGGTACGAGTTGTTGGCGATCGACTCGGCCCACACCGGGTCGGCTAGCAACCTGTCCATCAGCTTCGGAAGCCCTTCGATCCCCGGGCCATCCGCGATCGCTATGTTTTGGGTCGGCGAATGCGGCCGGGAGTCTAATAAATGATGGAAATGCTATACACACACACACATCAAAATGTTTTTTTTTAAAAAAAAAAAATCGATCTCGTTGTCAATTTTTTCTCAGATTTTCTCTTGGATTAATTTGGAATATTTAGTATTAGATTTTTGGGTTTGTTGGGTACCTGGATATATTGCATCTCATGCCCAACAATCACGCTCCGACACATGAGCAGATACTTCAGCCGGCCCGAATACGCATATCCCTCGGTATGGACCAGAAACTTGTAGTTGCAATGATCCTCGGGCGTCTTGAGTCCGCCATTCAAGTTTTGCCAGACGATCGGCTTGATGTCACTCCACGATTTACCTTTCGATACTTCCAGTAATTGCTATAGATCAACAAAACAAAAAACACAATCAGGATTTTATTCAAAAGAAGAAAAAGGGGGGGGGAACTACATACTTCACGCAGTTTAACGAGAATAGCGCCCCTCCAAAACGCCTTGGAGATTTTAGAATCCCAAGACAAGGAAGCCTCGCGTTCGGCCGTTTTGTCGCGCACCTCGACCATCCCGCCGACCTTCGGTTCCGGCCAGGAATAGAAGCCGTAGTCGGGCATCAGCCAGACCTCTTCCTGCGACTTGGTCCGGTCGAGCACCCACAACGGATGCTCGTCGTCTCCCCCCTGCGGCGCATCACTCGTCTTGATCACAAATTCTACATCCGGTAATAGCTCCGGTGAGGTGATCACTGCTTCCTCTGTTCAAGGTTTTTTTTTTTTTCATAAGTATTGTCTAGAGTCAGCTCTTTCTTTCTTTTCTTACTCTTCTCTGTTCCTCTCTTTCCTTGTTCGGGTTACAATCCAAGAAGAAATAAGAAGAAAAAAATTGATCTCACTGACGGATTGAATTTAATATAGCTTCTGTGCGTAGGCCAGGCCCCCTAAATACCAACGCCAACAACCACGCGAAGAAAGAGAGTGAGAGAGAGATGATTAAGAAGTAGTTTTGAAGCGAAAGAGAGAGAACCGACCCATTGAAGCCTTTAATGTACACCCGATTGCGGTAGATGAGGACACGAGCATGACTGTACTGATAAGCGCGATCTTGCCGAGGCAGGGGAAGGGGGGACATAAAAATCAGTGTTGGAGGAGCGAAGAAGCAGACAGACAGGAGAGAAGAGGAAGATACCGAGATGTTGGATGGAGATGTTTCCTCTGGAAGAATGGTAGAGGACAGCGCGATCGAGTTCCTGATAGAGGTTAGGGAACAGGGCGGCACAGCGCTCGGAGCCCATGGAGCGGTCCATCGAGGGGCCGAAGTCGTGGCCCGAATCAGGCACATAGAGCTTCTCCAGATCCTTCTTCTGATTGAGCTGATTTCGGCAGAATTTGGAAGCCAGCAATCCATTGAACGAGTCATTGGTCCGATTGGTCCCGTCGGTTTGAGAAGCGAAGGAGGAGGAGGAGGGGAGGATGTTGCAGACCCGGGAGACGACGGCATTGGTCAGATGGTAGTTGGTCTCCCACAGTAGAGCCGGCTCGCCCAGATTCCGGAACAGATGTCGGTCCACCACCACCGCCGTCCCGATCAACACTAGCAGCCCACTCAGCGTTATCAGCCGGCTCCCAAGCGTGCTCCGGCCCTTGAAATTCGTCGGCTGTAGTGGGTTGAATCGTAGTGGTAACAATGGGCGTTCTGTTGATGGTCGTGTTGGTTCAGATCCAAATCAATCAATCAAGTCATTAGTTTGTCATTATTAGTGTCCGTTCGAGAGACGGAGAAATTAGCCAGCAACCATATGATAATAAATGTGACTGTTTGTCTTTTTTTTTTGGTAGTACCTTGCAGATCCGAGAGCCAGCCGATCGGATTATACCTCGGGGGTGAGTTAGGAGGCGACATTGGTTCTGAGGACTGTTTTGGTGAATTGGAGTGGATGATGATGATGATGATTGGGTGTGGCAGAGGAAAGAAGAAGAAGAAGCTGTGGCCGAGGTTATAATGATATGCTGGTGAGAGAAAAGGAGTGGGTTATATTTTATATTATTATTAATCTTTAGCTGTCCTCTGTATGATGTATATGTGTATGTTATATGTATGTGTGTAGTTTGCCAAGACAACAGCAAAACAGGGTTGAAGACACTCTTCGGACGATTGGAAGTTCGCTGTTTAATTATGTGGGTTTTCGTAGAGCCGCGTTATAAGTGGAGGCCAGACTTGAAAGTGTGGATTGGTTGGTTTGTGGTGGAATTTGGTGAGGAATGGGCGATGAGATGGAGCTGCTGGTGTTGGGGGTGGTGAAGACAGAAGTAGGAGTGTTTCTGCTCAGGAGATTAGTGTCGGCCAGAAAGGGATGGAATGGGTAGGGGCAGAGGAGGGGGGTATTGATGAAGTTGGTTCAAATGTTTAGTTTATTTTTGGAGGCTTGCTGTTGGAGGAGAGGAAGGGAATCATCACTATCAGGGGGTTTATCGATCAAACTCAAAAAACAAAAACATTAATCAACCTGAAACACTCGCAACGCAGAGGCCGGTCCCTCAAACCGCGCCGAAGCATATAAGAAAGCTTCTCCTGCTCCATTGACAACGACAACATATTTATAAGATAGGATCATCATGACGACGAGGAATTTTATGAACTTGTAGAAGGAGAAGGGAGGAGCTTGAATACGGTCGTTCCGACAAGGACCCTGCAGAGAACCACGACTCGGATGAATATTTTCATCAAGTTCGGTTGTCTAATAGTAATACGGTCGAGTTCGGCCTGAAATTTGTTATGAGCAGTTCGAATCCTCTTTCATATTTACCACCAAAAGTGAGCTCGACATATCCATGGCCACATTCCAGCTGAGTCTCCTTGGAGTCCAGTTATGAAACCATGAAATACAAAAGAATTGTTTGATCAAAGCCAAGACAGCACAGGCTTACAACTTTGTCTGGTATAGTCCGAACATATTTTTAAAAAAATTATTAAATAAAACGAGGGATTTTTTTCAAGGAAAGCTCATTTGCCTAGTTCATGAGCCAAGCGAGTGACTTGAGAGAGGTTTCTCCTCTAAGAGACGCTTTGCGCCTCCAAGGAGAGGCTTTTGGGTAAGCTCAAGTTGGAAGGAAGTTATAGTAGCACTGGAACCTGTTCACAGGTTATCCGGGGGACTTCATTGAGCTCCCCAGCAGATCATGAACCAACTGTTGGCCACAAGCTGGCTCAAAGATACCCATGAGTCATTGGATTAAGCCAGATGGGGTGTTCTTCTTCCAGTAAATTGGTCAACATTCTTTCAATCACAAATAGATTAAAGATTCTGGTGAAAGAGGGACACAAAATGACAAGATTGAGTTGAGGGGGTATGATGTATCTCCTTCTTCTGGGAAAAATGAAGAAAAAAAAAAAAGAAAGAAAGAAATTATTTTCTGCTATTTTTTCTATGTATTGAAGGCTTGAGGAAAGTGAGAAAATTAACTGAGATGGAAGAGGAAAACTAGTCACTTCAAGTCCAGAGACAATTCAAGATGAGTTTCAATGTGGAAGGAACATGCAGCAAACAGGGAAACAAATCTCACATTATCCATCAGTGTGTTCCCTCTCCTGGGGAAGTGATTTGGTAATTTGAGCCCCTGCTCCCTGATGCATCTTGCGTGTATGGCTGAAAAAACTTGAGTGAATCTTCCAGCCACAAATCACATTTCTCATGGTTTTCAAACGCTGGATAGAACAGGTAGCAGGAGATGCAAAAGAAGAATCATTTATAAGAATTACAGAGCTAATTCAATGGAGCGGTAGGTTTGAGAAATTGGTGCAAAGGATCATTAAGGATGTCTGATTGGTTTAATCACCTTTCTTGGAAGAATATCTTATCGAATCCTCCAGCCACTTATCCAAGCGTCCATCACTTGGAAGAGCTGAATGCAACAGATGGAGATCCAAGAAAAGATCAATTTACCACTAGACCCAAAATGAATAAGGATATATGCAAAGACTCACAAGTGTCTGGTTGTTCTCCCACACTGCTTGATTCTGGCAGCCCAAGTTCATTTACTGGCACCAAATCTTGCAGAGGAAACCCATTGTTGATACATTCTGGGGCTTTCCCTCTCCACCTTGATTCTTGAAACTTGATGCTTTGTATTGGATCATGTTCTCTGAGAAGATTCTGGGAGCAGTGGAGACATTCATTGCACTTGTGGGGCTCAAAATGAGCCGTTTTTCCTGATCGAATCTCAAAAGAAATCTTGAGATTGGCATCTTTGGAATAGAAGTAAAAATTGAATGGATACTCAAGATAGGTTTACCTGGTGTGCCTCTAGCCATCTGTGGGTCTGAGTGTGTAATTAACCGTCTGTAGGAATTGGCTATGTAAACTTCACCTCTATCTTTTATTGGGGGCTTGGACTCCTCAGCTGGATGATGTGTATGATTTTTTTGGTTGATGTTTAGTGGTAAGCTTTATTTATAAAGTTGATAAATGAATCCAGAGGATACTACTCACCCTGACAGAAGCACATCCACTTCTTAAACATCGGAGAACCTCTCATGGGACAAATCAGCCAAGATAGATGGACTGTGAAGATTAGAAGATATCTCATGGAAGTAGCAAGCTTCATTGCATTGGTTTTGATCGATAAATGTGAGTTCCTTGTCCTGAATTCTTGATTTTTTTTTTCTGATGAAAATCCCTGCAAGTTACAAATCTGATTTATTTTATTTTTAGAGGGGGTATGTTTTACACAAAGTTCATATCACCCAATACTCAGCACCATGTGAGAGAGTTTCAAGGAGTGCTCAGATTGGGTGTACACAACCAGGCAATTGACAAGTCCTGAAACCTCAACTTTTGACCCAACATCCAATCCACAGTGAAATTTCTTTGTTGCATGCAGAGCAGATGCCATGTTTCATATTTGGTCCTTGATTACACAAAATGAAACCATCTTGCCTGGCACAAGTACTTTGAAATATCATCAAGCTCCTATGTAATTTTAGAATGAATAAAAAAAAACTTATGTAGTCAATTCAAGTTCACCCTTTATGCATTTTTTTGTATCCGCCATAGGCTTCATTCAAAATATTATTCCACCAACACACAAAACACATGAGATCAACAAAACCTAAAGCTTCCCCTCTCAGATTATCTCCAACAGGGGATGTGAACTGCAGATGAAAACCAGATTTCCATCCCCAATCCCAAGACACACACAGTCAAAAACGTCTATGGGCTTGGTTACCAGATTTTGCCATGCCATTATAGGAAGTAAATTTGCAGTCAGATGAGATATTGGTCCCATATTCTTTGTATGTATTCAGTTTTGCAGATTATGTGGTGAGAAGTGTATGGATTTGTAAGATTGGTTTCACTGCAGCCCAATGGAGGATCCAAATGGAAATGTATTCCTACACCCTTTGTAAAACATTATTGCACAATGGTACATCTAACTACTTGCTACATTCAGTGAAACCATCACACATCAATGATCACACTTCCTCAATCTGTCACATATCACACCTCACCACACCTCCTGCCAATATCCTACAGTTTCTGAATGTCACCGGCTGAAAAACTCAGAATTTCAAAACTTGTGAATGTATTTTCAGGTTTTAGAGCAACTCCACAGGGGTTGATATGCCACATTTATCAAACCACACTCAAAAAGTTGGTGTCACCATTTTGTGTTTTTACATCCTTGACCTTTATCCAGGATCCAAACCTGAAGACTTGATAGCAACTCTGGACCAAGAATATTCACAGGATACTTCTGTGTTTGTTCTGTGAACCACAAACACTACAAATCACCTACCTTCCCAATCACACAATTCACAGTGTGCGCAGAAGCACCTTGGGCCTTCAGACCTTGAATTCTTGTTTGCTATGTATTGTGAGAATTTGGGGACCCAAATATAGTCTGACTCATGAGAACTTTCTCTTACTACATTTCATTTTGGAGATACTATTTGTAATTTATCTAAGGTTTTTGTTTCATATCTTTCAGGATTGACATCAAAAAGTGATTAATTTTTTTCATATTTTCTGTCTTCTACACAAAAATTGAAAACAAGTGGAGAGATCTCTTCTCAAAATTCTTCACTTTTAGACCAAAGACTGGCTGTTGATGGTGTCAATTTTGATCACATGGAAATTTGAGGAATCAGATTTTTGTGCCTTACAGTACAGGCCCTCAGTGTGTGCACACAAACCTAACCAATTCCCTTGGCTTGCAGCACAAGCACCTCAGTGATCTTGGCCTGAGGTAAAAGCAGATTTTTGTTGGCCTTCTGTTTTAATTTTGCTACAGATCACAATTTTTCATGAAATTTGTTTGTATTGCAAGAAGTCAGAGTAAGTTTGTGTTCTTGTTTGATCCTTTACCTCCCTCCCAACCCTTGGAAATGCAAGTTGCAAGCAAAGTAAGGAAGGTGAGGATACAGATTTAGGTAGACTTTATGACTTTATGACACTATGTTGATTTTGACAATCCCACATTTTTGGGACAATTGTTTGAGGCAAAGGAGCTAGTAGGCCTGTGAGGGCCAATTTTCTCCCAAAATTAGGCAAGGTTCAGAGGATTCATAAAATCCAATTCAGATTGTGGGGAGTTTGATGGATGAGCAAGTTCATTAGAACTGTTGAATTTGGCTTCCCTTTCAGCCCAAGACCACCGGTACGGCATAGTTAAGTTCGGTGTGCGCAAGGGAAGAAAGAGCCCTCTCCTTCATTGGCCATGGATTCGTGGTAGTTGATTTGAGAATGAAGTGAGAGTGGGTCAGAAGTCATTGGCAGGCTTGATTACATAAGTATTCAATATGCATCGGTCATCAGCAAATTGAATATGTAAAACCCCCTTCCCAAATTTATGCAGCACGATCGACCCACGACTCAACACTCAACACTTCCTCCATCTCAACTAAAACATTCAGCATTTGGTTAACTGGATCTACCAACAGCATCAAACGAGAGCACCTAGGATGGCGCGAGGGAAAGTCCAAAAGCCTGGGAAACGAGCCAGTCGATCAAAGCCACAGAACCTCAGACCAGATAGTGGACAGTTTGATCCCAGACAGAGTAGCATCAAACGGTTGGCTGATTGGGATCAAGAGGAAGCTCAAGACGAACAGGATGACTGTAAGCTTGACAACCCCAACAATACTCTCTCTTCTTCAAAAAAAAAAAATAACAGACACTGACATCTTGAACAGTCTTCGAAGGATTGGATAAGGTTTCACTTCAGCAGACCGGTCGGGATACACGATTTGAAAACGACTTGGAGATCCCAGAACAGCTCTTAGACATCGATGACGGTGAGGAAGAGACAGAAGAAGAAGATGACAATGAAGAGGATGGATCTGAGAGTGAAGGCCAGAAATCAAAGCCGAGGAAACAACGCAAGCCGAAAGTTTCAGTCGATAATTCTCACAAAGGTCGATTTGGAAAAGTAGCCTCGGCCTCGGAGACTCACTCTGATCAGACCGACTCGGAGAATGGATCGGAGGAAGAGGTAGATCCGATGCAGCTAGATCAGAATGAGCTCGAGACAGAAGGAGGCAAACTGGCAGACGATGATGACGGCTCTTCAGACGAGGACGAATCGACTTGGAAGTCCTATCACGTCGCCAAGTCGAAATCGAAGAAGAAAAAGTCGACCAACGATCCAGAGGCGGTTGCGGAGGAGGAAGAACGACGGGCGTTGGAACTGGAAGAAGTTAAAAGGTTGCAAGCCAAGGCCAGATCGAAGCTGATACCGAGCGATTTCTCGTCTTATTTGGACTATGCATCCGACGAGGAAATCCTTGCGACCGAAGCCACAAAGAAACTCAATCAAGACCAAAGATTCTCTTCGTCTCATTCTACTTTGGTTAAGGAGTTCGATTCGGAACCCGAGGCGGTCGCTTATTTACTCAAAACTAAGCCCGAATGTTTGGCTCTTCTGAACGATTTCCGTCGCTCATTGGACGCCTTATCTGATCTTCAAGATAAGATATCCACTACCAGTGATCCCACCGATGGAGATCAGGAGAAAAACGAGTTCAATCGCGCAATTGACTTACTGCATTATCGTAAGTCTTCCTCTATCAAATTCATCGCATCAACATGATTTTCACTCTCTTGAAACGATAACTGACCATCCGCTGCGTACATATCTTCTCAGACGTCCTATCGACATATGTATCAACCACGGCATTTTACATGCACCTCTCACTCCACATTCCACCTCCTGCTCCCGCGTTAGTAGGATCGGTGACCAAATCATTGATCGACTTACGGAATACGTTAAACCTGATGGAGCAAGCTGGGTTGATCGGAGACAGCCCCGAAAGCGGCAAACTGCTGCTCGGCGGCTCTGGGATGTTTGACGGTCAATTCCCAGCCTCAGAGTTCGATGAAGAGCTGCGTGAACTGCTCTTCGATCAATCGAATCCAGACGACGACCAATCCGATTCTGGTTCTGATGATGTCGAGCCAACCACCAAACGTCGTAAGTCGTCGGATGAAGTATCGGCCTCTCGGTCCGATAAAATCAAAGAGGCCACTCGATCGAAATCTAAGCAACCCAAGAAAAAGAAACAGAAAGATTCGAAGAAAAGCTCGCAGATCGAAGTCGAAGATCCGAACGAGTTGCTAAAGAATTTACCCCCTAGACCTTCGAAGTCGATCCTGAATTCCTCCGAGTATGAAGATCAAAACGAGCTCGATTTCCTTGAATCGACCTCGTTATCTGAAAAGGAAGCCAAAGAGAAAGAGAAGAAGAAGAAGAGCTTGCGCTTCTACACAGCCAAGATCGATGCCAAAGGCAAGCGGAGAGAGAAAGCCCTGGCGGGTACGGGCATCGTCAGTGGGGATAGCGACTTGCCTTACATTACTAAGGAATCTCAGCGTCGCGAATTCTTGAAGAAGCAGGATCACTCGGCCACAGGCGTTGACCAGGACGGGCAGTTTGAGGACAGTCTCGATGGCTATCTGCCTGATGCCTCCTTTGATCAGGACGGCGAAGCGGATTATTATAATACGATCAAAGAGCTCAAGTTATCGTCCAAGAAAGCTAAGAAAGTACAGTATGATGAGAAACGACTAGCAGAACGGTAAGATCTTTTGGATGCATACATTTATATCTAAGCCCACACTTGGGGAAAGAAACAAACAGTAACTAACTAACTAAACTTGTTCAATGTGTGTGTGTGCAATACAGGGATGCATTAATGACGGAGGGAGATGTTGAAGGAGGGGATAACGGACCTCGAGAGATCAGTCGGCAGATCCTGAAGAACAAGGGCTTGACGCCCAAGCGAGCCAAGGAGAACCGCAACCCGCGTGTCAAGAAACGCAAGCGATTCGAGAAGGCCCAGCAGAAGATCTCCAGTCAGCGACCCACCTTCAAGCCCGACCTCGCCGCTCAGAGTCGTACCCTTAATGGCTATCAGGGCGAGAAATCCGGGGTCAAGGTCGGCGTCGTTAAGAGTCGTAAACTCTAATCGTTCCTTTGTTTTTTGTTCTTCTTGTTCTTGTGGTTTTTGTTGTTCTTTGCGATTGGTGGCTAGTCTGGTGTCTTTTTGTTGTTCAGGCTTCAGCTCGTTATGGCTGCCCATGTCAAGTCGGTCTGCTCCATTATTCTTGACAAGATACCCCGATTTCAGAACCCCCCCCCCCTTCAACACTTACTCAGTCTTCTCCACCCCCACCAAAAAAAACATATTTGATCATGATCGTCATTGTTCTCAACTTTTTTTAACGCGTTTTCTCTCCGATCGTCATTTTTTTCTTTTCTTTGCTTGTTTGTTAATGAAAAGCTGGAGGAATTCATCTTACTTAGTACTACTTACATACTCTTATGAAAAATTGCAGATGGAGAAGTAGGATAGACATACCAATCTCACTAAAAAGGGACAAATGAAAATAAGACTATTTATGTAGATACATTTTTATGCCCGAAATGTGACAAACAAACAAACAAGCAAGTCAAATCGGCATGGATTTCTCCAACAATCTTTCGGTGGGCGAGGCTCCTGAATCCCTGGTTGCAATGGAGAGAACCAGGGAAAGGTTCATAAAAGGCCGCTGTTAACTGACAACTTCGGACTTTAGCAGTCCGGAGACCGGTCGGACCCAATCACTGTCCGACCGAAAGACGCGCCTCTTTCCCAATCCCATCCGGGTGGACGATGTATACGTGCTCGGTGACCGGACGGACCGGTTCAGTGGGCAGTGAAATGAGTGGTCGTTTGGGAGTATGTAGGCACGACAAGGAGTACCTATATAGGAGGAGGCAGATCGACCTGAAAACTCTCGGAAAAGAGTCTCCGAAGCTGTCATGACGAGGTAAAACCTCTTTGTACTATATTTCACAAGCTTCACGTGACGTTTCTCTTGCATGAAGAGAAAGAAAAGAAAAAAAAAAACCAGGGGTTGGGTTGTGTTCGGTTGGGTCTACCGTCTCGGAAGGGCGGTGCAAGCCAACTGCAAACTGCAGACGGACTCGGACAGCGTCGGTGTTGTTTCGGAGCCTCGACAAGACTTCATAGGCTTGGTGATGATCTGTGTCGGGTTCATTGTGGTGTACAGAGTGAGTATTGTCCACACTTGTCGATGCTCCGGAGTCCACAGGGTCACAAACTCCGTATGGGTCGCATTGTCGTGCTGGTCATGTGGGACCTCGACTTGTCTCCTCCCTCGTGCGCATCTTTCTCGTGTCCCTCTCCATAATACTCGTCCACTTGACTCGCTTAAACAGCTTAACACTCAGAAACCATCATCATCTTCATCATCATCCATATACCCCCAATTGACATTTGTTTTTGAAAGTGAAAGTTGTCGTCAATTGATGAGTGAGATGATGGCCGCTCATCGTCAGCGTCCACCGACCCACATTCCGCGGCTGGCTACGTTGTTTCATGTAGCAGGGCTTGCGGTGTTGGTGAATGCGTTTCGACTGACTTCCGAGCCAGGTGGGTCTTTCGTTCTCTTTTTTTTTTTTTTATGAACATTGCGTGATTCGACCTACCCTCATGACCGATCACTCCAATTTTATCTTCTTTCTTTTTTTTTTTTTTTCATCGACGGACTCGGTCGTCGCTGGATGGACGATATATCTCCAGACAGTTTCTTCATGTTGATGTTCACCAAGATGGGCGGACGGACGCATTTTCTTACGATGTGGGGGTCAGTCCTTCTCACATTCCCTGATCAGCCTCAAACTCGGCTGGCGAATGTTTGTATTCGAGTAATCCGGACTGATTAAAATGGTATCCTTTCTTCTTTCGTGGATTACAAACATAAAAAAAAAAACCCCGAAAATTATGTTCAACTCATGTAGTCTTTTTTTCGCGACGGTTACCTTCGTGTTAAATATCATGATGGCCATATTTCGGAAGAATTCACGTGAGTAGATGAATGCGCTCTTTTTTCTGAAGAGCGACCTTCCATCCGTGTTCCCGAGTGAAAGCTTGACTTTCGAGGGGGGGAAGGGGAAGGCTTTTTGCTGATGACTTCCGAGATTATGTTGTGCGCAGGTTTGCGGGATTTGAGGAAGCTAACACTTGCGATTGGCTTGCCACTGGAGTCGGTAATCACGACGCTTTACTGGCCGATAATCATCTTAAATCCCAACATGGTAAGCGTTTTTTTTTTTTGATGGTCTTTGAACATGACTAGCATGTACGTCTCTCAAGTGGCATTTTAATTTGTGTTGGACAAAACCTTTATATATAAAAGATGATGCTTTCCGAGCTTGAACTAGTGATCCCTCTAAGTGTGGATTTAGCGCTCCATCTCTACCCAGCGGTGTTGCTATGGATCGATTATCTCGTCTTTTCGGATCGCTTTGCGGACTCTTCGAGCCGCAAAATCACGCTCACAAAGGACATCCATCTGAGCATCTTGCAGCTGACGCTCTTGCTCACTCTGGCATACGTCTCTCGGATCGAGCTGCTTTGTTACTTCAACAGCGACATTCCACGTCAGTTTCATTATAGCCACCCACTCGTTCGATTAAAAGAGCAAACCCATTTCAGAGAGGAAATATTTACGCTTGCTGTTTTCTTTTTTTTTTTCATCCTTTGGGGGGAAAAAAAAAACTTGATTCGTAAAAGTGCCCTATCCTTTTTTGAACGACGTGGATTTTCCGGTCCGAGTGGCCATCTACTCCGCTGCAGCCGGACTTTGTTACATGTACTCTTCCATTGCCGAAAGCCTGCACGGTTTGCTCTTCAGAGCTTAGCTTACATAACTTCATGGATTGGATGGATGTATTTTTAGGTTATCATAGGAAGGAATTTTAATTGTTTGTTGTTTCCAATAGGATATACATAACTTCCGTCAATACAGTGTTGGAGAAAAAGAGATCACACGCGGAATATATGTAGAAAAGCTATTAGACAAGAAATAAAGACATTGGTAGATTAAAATATTGAGTGATTGACTTCAAGCGTTCAAGTCATTCTTTCTACGGTATTAAGGGCAGTCCACGTTTGGACAAGTGAATGTAATGCATGAAAAACAGAGCTGCCGGAATCAGATAAACAGTGAGTCTCACAGGCGATCTTGGGTTTTCATTTAAATAGAAGTATGTACCAATGGTTGAAGAAAAAGCTTGAAAAAACAAATTCCATTGATTGGTGCAAGTCGATTATACTCTAAAGAAGAAATGCTTTTCTGGGGGCATGAATGGAAAACTATGAAAAAAGAAAAAAGAAAAACAAGAAAAAACAATTGTCCATCACTATAGATAAAGTAAAAATAGGTTATTATATATAAAATGAAAAATGCGTGTCTGTCTGAAGTAAAGTAATTCGTGTGTAAGCGATGACTTGGCACCTACATAAAGCTTATTAGAGAAAAGCGGAAGACAGGAGGAGAGTGAAGGCCCAGAAAAAGCGATTGCATTCCGGGATTGTGGCAGCGGAATCCTTTGGACTGTCGCCCCTGTGTGAACAATACGATAATTCAATCAGAGTGGATATTTTGATAGTGAGTACCGCAACTGCAGATTCTGTGACTACTAAAAACATGAGTATACGCACTTGTTAGGGGAACCATTATTGCCACTTGTGGGAGGTGATAAACCGCCCCCGCCGCTTGTTGCTGGTGGAGTGTTGGGATTACCGGTGGTAGAGTTACCTTGAGGTGTGGAGGTGTTTCCAGACGGAGGGCTGTTGCTCTTGTTGTCGGCTTGAGGACTGTCTCCGGCAGGGGGCTTGTTATCACTCCCACCGCCGTTTCTATTCCCGCTCCCTCCAGGGCTTCCTTTGTCAGGAGGGTTATCGATCAGCCGAGGAGGTTCATTACAGGCTTTGCACCCTGTTTAATGCAAATGTTAGCCACAGTCAAGAGATAACATGATGATGAATGCGTCTATTCGAGAGCTCTTACTAGCTTTTCCAGTCGTCGGGCCGTAGCAAGTGAAAGTCTGATGCGGGGTAATGCAGACTGGAAATCCCCAAGCTCAGTTACATGTTTCGCTTGAAATGGTGCTCAGAATTTGAGATGAAGAGGGCGAAACTTACGAGCCATCGTCGCCGATGACTTGCCATATGAGACGGTACATTTCTCACTGGTCAACGGCGGCCTTTGGTCGTTCATTTCGTGACTAGTCGTACATTGGGTAGCAGCTGATGACACATATAGAAGTTAACTCAAGATTTGGGAAGAGAAAAGGACCGGGGAAATTTGCAGCAGAACAAAAGAAAGCACTCACTGACGTAGCCGGTACAGCCGCCAGTGCATACCATACCCCAGACATCATCGCAAGCTGCAGATATGAAAAAGAAGTGAAGCGGGGGTGAGCTTGGCAGATGAGCAGGAAATGAAAGAGATAGACATCATCAGCCTTACAAGCAGAAGTGGAGTTCGCATTGACGTAAGTCGAACAGTCCTGGTCCCTCACAGGCCCAGTCTCTTCTTTTGCTAACACGCCGGATAAGAAGAAGAATGAAACACAGAGGGAGAAAGTGGACATAGCTTGGGGAACCATTAGAAGTAGTAATATTAGACTAGCTGGGGATAGACAAAAGTGCTTCTGGAAGGATGTTCTCTATGAATGAATTTTCGGGGAGAGAATGAAATAATGGGAGCTCAGGAAATGGAGGCCGTGCTGCTTTCCATTAATCAAATTCTCAAAGATGTGCTTACTCCACCGAAGTTCCCTTTGTACAAAAGAGGCTTGTTACAGTGGGCCGGACAGCCTTGTCCGGCTGGGGTTATATTATATAACCAGTCTTTGAATCCCGAGCAGCGTGATGGGCAAGCCACCACTGCCTCTGAAACTGGGCAATCGATGAATACATACCTGTATCATTCTTCTGGACAAGCCTCAAAGCTTCGCTGTAAAAGCCAACAATTGTACTGTCAGGTACAGTATGGCTGATCGTCCAGCTGACTAAAATGCTATGTAGACGTGAACCGTCCTACTGACCTGTGGTGTTAAGGAAGCGGACTGGGTGCTGGTTCAAGTTTACTGATGCAGTGAGGGAACATTGGAAGTGCAGCCGATCTGATCTCTAGTAAAATAGAAAGGTCGAAACAGTGCGGTCAACAAGATGCAGAAAAAGGTAGAGATAAGTGAATGATAAGAACCTCTTAGTCTTGATGAGCCGCCTACATAGATTTGAAAATATCGGTCTTGAAGAGAAAGCTGGAGAAGTATTGCAAGGTTATTGACAAAGGATCCTGCTGATTTAAACCTCATAATCAACAAGTTGAACATCGATGGTAAACTGGTGGTAAACAGGAATCGAGAACAGCTTTTCATGAGAATGATCACAATCACATGACGTCATCGAGGGCGCTTCGAGTGTGCTTGCTCTTGACCATTCAAGCTAGTCTCTCCTCAATCCGGTCCACCACCTCTTTATAAATCTCTTTTGCTTCTCCAAGGGTCAAGACTCAAGCGCTTGATCAGAACAAACTCTTGCCTTATCCAGAGCTATACTCACTCTGTTCTCTGGCCTTGAATTCGACCTCCCGCCCCCTCCCAGCCCATTCAATCTCAGACTCAACCATCAAATTGACTTAGGTAGGTCATTTGATAATATCAAGTTTTCTCTTGAAGTAGCAATGCATACAGTTTCAATCCAGTGAGAGAGACTCAAGACTCTGATGCCCTCCCACCAGTCTGTATCTCTTGTTGCACAACCCTTGGGTTGGCATATAACCATTGCTCTTGTATCCTCACATCTTTGATCTCCACCACTCTCCTGTCCTCTCTTTAAACCTTGATGTGATGAAAGCAAACCTTTATAATCAAAGATTCTTTTGATCCTGTGGAACTGTTTGAATTTGTCGATTCTACAGGTCCATCTTCGATAAGTTGATAGATACATTCCAGAAAGAGAAAACCCACTGAATAAACAAGGTATGTCTGTTTTGTTTCACTGGGCATTCCTTCATCGTTCTTCTTCTTCTTTGATTTTGAACACTGATCAGTCCCTACCTTCCAATGATTATAGAACATGAATTCCTCGCGCGACATATTTGAGGAAACCATGGCCAAGTACTGCCCCGATTGGGATTACCCAGACTTGCATTCAATTCTGCCTGAAATGGACCTGGACTTGAAAACTGGTATACTTACCGTTTATCCGTCCCTACCAACGGTGTCCGGGACCCGCAAAGACGAGAGCCTGACAATGGTCCAGCTACCAGTTAGTTGATTCACTTTCCCACTATCCTTGTTATATCCTTAGCATTTACCAAAGATTGACTTTTTCTTTTTCTTTTGTGTTAGAAGTGTAATGCTATCAATCAGGGTTGTTCTTCAAAACAAGAAGTTGATGGGTAGTCAGGCAAAATCATCCTCCTGCCAATGTCCTCCTAGAGTTCAACCCCCTATCTTTCCGATAGATACGGCCAGAGCACTGGAAGAAGACGCGTGTGTGTGTCAAAAAACACAACAAAATTCTGTGACCAAACACGAGCCAGATGCCCCGCAGTTGGAATTGCTGCCGGTCTTTGACGTCCAGATAAACCTTCAGCCGACGGAAGAGCCGCTGGCAAACAAACACGATCCAGATGCCTCGCCGTCGGAATCTCCGTCGATCGTTAAGGTTGAGGGTGATGATAACCAAGGGTTGAAACCAGAGATGTAAAAGAACAACCACTCGTCCGGGCTTCACGCCGATATTTCGTCGAGAAATGTCGACCGTAAAGTGAAGTACCGGTTGTAAGCGGGTATAAAAATTGTGAAGCTCAGTCTGAAACACAAGCAAATGCAAGTTAAAAATAGCGCGGCTGTTTTTAGTTGCCCTTGTTGTATCGAAGTAATTCTACTATGGTCCATAGGAGCGGGATGAGAAACTAGGGTAGACTTACCCAAAAGTGTTCTAAAGTTTTAGCTTGCAGTGAGGGACAAGTTTACTACGATTGAACACGTCAGAAATCTTCCCGAAAAGGATCCAGATCTGAGTCAAGTGGTGAAAGGTTGATAAGAGAGCTTCCCGAGAGGGGCTAGGGAGCAGTCGATGATGATGGAGTGGATCCTCAGAAGGAATGGCTTGTAAGCTAGGGAGATCGATTTCGATCTCCGAGTCGAGTGAGATGACGACCTCTGGGCCAGGCAGCCGATGTATCCGGGGCATTGCTGTTAGAATTTGTTCTCAAATCTTTATTCTCCAAGGAAGCCTTGAAAGGGAACATAACAAAGGAAAGAGAGAAGGTTTTTTCAAACTTATCGAACACTGGATAAGCTGAGCTGCAGCTGGTTTCCAGTCCCACAGTCTCCTGGAGCATATCATCAAAATTTGGACAAAAAGCTTTTTTTTTGTATTTGGACAAGGGCAATTCTTGGCTTTTGAGTGTCGCTGTAGGACAGGATCCCGCTTCCAAACTCGAAGGGATTTATCAAGCTAGCACCTCACCTAAGAAGAGGACTTGGGCGTTATGACCGTCTCATGAAAAAAGGCATAGATTAATTGACATGTTTGACGCAAATATTGCTTCAGAAAGCGCTTATCTGAATTTGAACGACCCCGATTGGGATCTGTGGACCCCAGAAGTAGGAAGTGCAGTGCATCTCCAAGGGGCAGCACTGGGTATGGATTAATGATTTGCTTAATAAAAACCCAGAAAACAGGTGGCAAGGGCCAAAGATAGAGTGAACAAGATGTAATTCCGATTTGTTGTGAGAGGATAAATCCGACCAGAAAAGTATGAACGGAGAACGAGAAAGAGGAGTGCCCATAATAGATAAGGTAGAAGGAGGGTCAGATAAACTAAAGAGCAAGTTTGTGTCCGTCTTGACAAAAAATGAAACATCAAGTCAAGCGATGGGTGTGTGTAGAAAGCTTTAGCTGCAACTGATTACATCAAAGCCGAAGACAAAAGGGTGGCAAGGGCCAATGAGACGCCATTGAGGGCCAAGAGGGAACCAGAAGAAGTACTGTGACCATCACTGAGAAAAGCGCAAACAGATGATCATTTTTTTCATGTCAGTGAAAGTTGATGATGGGGCGGATTGAGATAAGAGAGAAATGAGGGGAATACGCACGTCTTGGAGGAGTCAGGACTGCCGGCGGCGGGTGCATCACCTGTGGCTGGGGGAGTGCCGGAGCTGCTGGTGGTGGTGGTGTTACCGGCCGAAGAAGTGCCCTGCGTGGTGGTGCCGGTGGTGCTTCCCGAACCGCTTCCGGTGGGAGCGTTGGTGGCTGGAGCAGAGTTGTCATCGGCGGGTTTGGGGCTGCCTTCGGGTGTGGACTTGGTTCCGCTGGCACTGCTTCCGCCCTTTCCGCTTCCATTTCCGCTGCTTCCATTTCCGTTGTTTCCGTTTCCGCTTCCAGGGGTGGTTCCCTTGGCAGGGGGAGAATCAGGTGAGGTGATCTGGCGTTTGCATGATTTGCAGTCTAGTGGCAATGGACGAGTTAGCCGGATTGAAGATAGATAGGAAAGAGGATAGCGACAACTTACTAGCTTTTCCAGTCACCGGGCCGTAACACGTAAAGACCTGTTTCTCAGTAATGCAAACTGAAAGTTTACAAGGTCAGTTAGCTGAAAGTAGACAGACGATCGGCCGAGTAGACTCAATTATTGAGAAGAGACTTACTAGCCATAGTCGCAGACGACTTGCCGTAGGAGACGGTACATTTTTCGGTAGTAAGAGGGGGTTTGGGGTCGTTCATTTCTTGACTGGTGGTGCATTTGGTGGCGGCTGGTAACGAATGGTGAGTTCAAGGTTTGGAGAAGGATTTAGATCGAAGACAAAAAGATAACTCACTGACGTAGCCGGTGCATCCACCGGTGCACACCATACCGGATACCTCGTTGCAAGCTGCAAACAGGAAGTAAGGGAAGTGGGAGTCAGCTATCCAGGAAGCCACGGCATGGAAGAATGAACAGCGCGCAGTTGGACGTCAGTCTTACTGGCAGAAGTGGAGTTGGCATTGGTGTACATCTCGCACTCCTGGTCGTGCACCTCATCCTTGGCGAACACGCCGGACGAGAACAAGACAGCAACCAAGAGGGAGGCGATAGTCATAGATTGGAAAGACATTTGGTGAAGTGGTGGTACTAAGTAAGGGTATGTTAAGGTCTATGAAGTGTTATTGGGCGGTGGGAAATGAGAAGAGCTATGGATTATATATGGGGGGAGTCGACTGTCGATGAGAGCTGGTTCAGAAGAGAGAGACAGCCAAGGGGATAGCCTGGAGAAGCCAATCGCAAGCCACAACCACCACAGGCATTGGGGACATAAATGCCCCCAGTATGATCTGTATCGGCGCCCCTAGAACCACCCTCCCATACATATCAATTTTACTTCGATCCGGATGTCTTCAGAATTTCCATCGTCCACATCATTCTTCTTGCCGAAGCTCCATGCCGGGCTATGTAAATATATACATATGCTGGGCGTCAAAGCCGACAATGGCTCAGTAGGGCTCAGTTGGTAGAGAAGACAGAAATACATTAATACACTCATGACGAAAGTGAGCACTTGACCGGAATGACCCACTAGGGATACATGCATGATACACTCCTTACATATGAGGGTCAAAACTGGAGTCTGAAACGGCCCATTTATATTCGATTATACTTCTTCAAAATTCGGAGTGTGGGCCCCGAGAACTCTAGGACATACAGCCCCCCTAGACAGTAGAAATTACATGCTATGAAATAGGAGTTTTTGGAAAAGAAACTCTTTCACTTGGTGCAAATATGTACATATTTCTAAAAAGCGCAAGAAGCGCAAAACGCCCAATTTTTGTGTGTGCTGATGTGTGATAACCCATGAAGACCCTCACAATGATAAGGTCAGTGCAGGCTAAAAAGTCAATATTGTGGGCACACCTTTCTTCACTGTAGAATCCAGGTGTCTGGCCACTGGGACACCGGACATAGGAGAGGAAACTTTCAGTTTATGCCTGCATGGAAGCTTTTGCCCATGTCCCTGGACCCTGCTAGAAAGGCACTGTTCCAGTTGTAGGAGACAAGGGCTCAAAAGCTTACCAGGACAATGGCACAAGTATAATTCCAATCATGTGATCCCTGTTACAGCTGATAAATCCTCAAACAGACTCATGGAATCTGGGCAAGTCTTGTAGACTGATTTTGGTGTTCATCTTACATACCATATACGGCTATATAGTTCAGATCTACAGCATTTGTCCGTCTGCTTATCTGAGTGAAACAGCTCGGAGGTGGGCCAATTCTTAACTGATTAACTGTGCAACACTTTGTGCAATTATCCGAAAGGCGCAAGTGTTCAATGACACTGCTCTTTATTGAATCTGCTCATTGATTTGACGTTTGTGAAGGTGCCAGATGAGTGGAAATCGGTGTGTTCCCGGTGTCACTCTGGCCAATTCAGTGAATAAATCATAGCAGAAATCGACCGTTCTGATGTCCTGAGCTTGCATATCCAAGCCAAGCATCAAGACGGTGAGGGTGTAGGGTGTTCTGATACATTAATCACTCGGGCAGGTCTCGAAAGGAAGATGGGATAATTGATTGGAATCTAGCATAGCACAGGGGATTTTTGTTAAGGGAATGGAGGAAAAAGTACACCGATTACGAGAAGGCTGCAGGGGGTTGATTCGCATCACCGTTGGGGGTTGTACCCGAGGTGGTGAGTGTCTAATGTAGAAAAGATTGATTGGTCAGCTCAATCAGTCACTCGAACGGCTAGGGAGCTGATTGGAGAGGGATGAGTGATGACAAGACGTACGTGTTGACCCTGTCGCTGCCTCTCCATCTCTTTTTCGTGAGAGACAAGCATGCTTTCGGCCTCGATGGAGAGTGCCATAGGTAGGCCAACAAGGATGATGCTGGTGGTGAGTACCCAGGCAAGGTTGCCGAGGGTCCTACCGGTTGAGGAGGACTTCTCCCAGATCGAATTCCATCGCTCACAGATCGATTCCCTCGTGGTTGGTCTGATGATATCCCGCAGGGCGTATATCCGATCCACAATCGTCTCATCCTCGACCCTGTACATTTCAAGCGATCGTTGTAGCTCCTCATCATCCGAATCCGCCGAGGACCGATCGTCGGCTTGATCAGCTTCCGATGGATCTGAGGTCGATGAGCCGTCCGATTCCGTCACAAAACCGTCATCACCGTCGTCCAGTTTCAATTCCTCTATCTGCGTAAGGTAAACGGGCGGGACAAAGAATGCGATGAGCCGGATTGGTAGCCATAACAGTACAACAGCGAGAACTCACTTTGACCATCGTCGGTTCGGTTGCTTTAGGTCAGGTTGTATGTGTCGAGGTTAGTTTGCCGGCGTTGAAGGCCTCTCTGGGCGGTGCAACTTGAAGCGTGCAATATGGGTGACTGCCAGATGCATATATTCAATTTGCAGCGCACTCGGGCTGCGGCGCATGGGATCGACGCTGGAATAGGGATGGCGTGCAGAACAATTGTCCAAAGAACAATCTCATGATGAAGAAAGAAAACACATTTCATATCAAATCGACATGGAGATGTATCCAGCTTGTGGTTCTGAGGATGAAATGGGAAGGCCTTTGCCCACCAACGGTCAAGAAATTAGGAAGCAAGCTAAAAAAACACTGAAATATTATGTAACATAGTGTGAAGCATATGTAGGCAAAGCTATTAACTTGAGACATCCACAAAATAACCTTGGTTTGAGGCTGCTCGTGGAAATCTTGTTAGATCTGAATCCAATGTCGTACATCCCTCAGGAAGAACCATGACAATGGGCCATAACAGAGGAGTGATTCATGGGAGGGGAAGAAACGCATGAAGGAATCTGGATGTGATAAGAGTTGGTGCATCAATCATGTTTCACTACAGACTTGTTGCATCTACCATTATCTTGATTCCTGAAGTTCATAACCAATGGAGATAGTCTACATTACAACAGTTGGTTCAGGTTAATTTGATGTAACCAAAAAAGAGAAAGATTTTATACAGATTTGAGAGAGAAAGTTCATCATTTGTGAGCTTCAGAGATGGTCGATTTCGGGCTCTCAGGCGCCGCGTGAACTCAATGGGCAGATTGGACCAATATGTTTTTGCTATCACTGCTTGGTTATCCTAATTAAGTTGCGGAGGAACCAAGCTGACGTTCCAGTAGCGTCGCGGTCGACAGATTCAGGGGGGACGAGCCAGAAGAAAGGCAGGTTGAATACCTTCAAAGGCGAACCAGAACCCATGGATAAGCTGTCCGGGACGGTGTATATTTCTGGAACTAGAATCAAACCGGTGCAATGTCCTGCTCTTCTTCTAATATCTCTTCTTGTGGGTTTACCAGAGTTGAGCCCAGTGCAGAAAGTCCTGATAGAGTCATAGTGTCATTGGTCGGAGCCTCTGTTGCCATTGAAGGTTGTTGGTAACTGTAAATACAAACATGAGAATCAACTTGGTGTACATTTTACTGTGATAGATTAGAAAGAAACTGACAAGACATTGGGTAGGTTTGCCAGCGATTGAATCTCCGTCCGCGAGAGATAAATCTTCAGCCAAGGAGTGTGGGATTGTCTGGGTCTGTTTTAGAGACAAATGAACCAGAAAACAAAACACTGAGTTGTCTTTTTCTTTCTTCTTTTGTGGAACTTCCGATTGTTGGCCGAATCAAGCTAAGCCTACCTTTTACGTTCTTCGCTGAGAAATTCTTGCATGATTTTGTCTTGCCGGGCCATGAGAGATGCCTTTTTCTGACTCTCCGAGAGCTCGGCTGATTTGGATCGTTCGAGAATCAAGTTTTCGAGAGATCCGTATTGATTGTATTGATGAAGCTCATTAGATGAGACCTGAGCCGAATCATTCGGGTCTGTTTTTTGTCGCTTAGAGGGCCTACTACCACCATCACCAGTGAAGTTACGTTTGATGATTTCCGCAACGCTAATCAACCGACCGACGGCATTTTTATCCGGGTTGGTTTTGGATGTCGTGATCGTCTTTTCGATGTCTTCAACCGGCGTTCCAGGCGGTGGAAGTGTATGCAGACATAACGGGCGTCGGTCGGTTTCCTGCTGTTAATCAGACCGTCCCATGGTGTTATTATCAATTTTCATTTCAGAACAGCGAGACGATAGAAATCGAACTAGTCGAGACTCACTTGCAGTAATGATAATGAGAAGGCGGCGCACTTGGGCACTCTGGTCTTGTGCGTGACTTGGACCAATCGAAAGTCGATATCCGAGGGGTAAGAGGTGCTCATTCCTGAAGTGCTTGGATATTTCCCTCGAACTTCAAGTCCGGAACCGATCCGCGAAAGTGCTGTACAGCCGTTTCCGGGCATATGCATGATGCGCGCGGTGGACCCGGTGCGATCGTCCGCGCAGCAACGTCTGGCCTGTTGATTCGCCAGCTTTGGAAAAAGATAAATACATATTTATACACTTTTGTTGTCTAGAAGCTTGAGGCAGCCTCCCGAAATGGGAGACATGACTCGTCTCAAGGCGTCAGATAAAACAAAAACGCAAAAGAAAGGAGAACAAACCGGATACCATTTAATGTGGCACTGGCATGCAAACATCTACATCTGATTCTGATGGGGACCCATACCAAGACAGAGAATCGGAGCCTGCGCGAAGTGCGGAAAATTTCCGCGCGGATCTAGTCAGTGCGGAATTTTGTACTGAGCTGTACAGACCAACAGGTCCATCCGGATTGGGAGGCGGGTTTCGGACTGGTTTCATCAGTGGGCTGGGGTCGGTCCAGTTTCATCATTCTACTAGGTGGAAGCTACATATTATAGAATATAATAATTAGCGGTGCAAGTTTCGGTACTTTCATCCGGCATGAGGCCGTATCTCAAATTAATCTACAGTAAAGAGATGATATGATGAGTTCAAGAGAGATTTCAATTTCCAGAAAAGAGAGGGGGGGAGGAAGAACGCAAGCATAAGGAATGCCAGTTGAAAAGGCATGAAAAGCGGGCATCAGTCGATCGGCGAGATCCTTAGCCAAGAAGCGCAACTGGTCTGCATATATGATCCACCAGGATGAGCTGGGCTACTAGGTCTATGATCGATATCGAGTTTTATGACCGATATCGAGGTGGATGCTCGATCGAGTCTGAGGAAGGGTACGTACCAATCTTCGACCCTTGGAGGATGGCCGTAAAACGGGGATTATTGATCTGGATGAGATCAATGATCATGTGAAGGCTGTTGATGGTCGCCTGGTTGATGTTTTCTGGAGGGGGACGAGCAAGCGGTTGCAGATGAGGGCGTCGATTTGGATGCTGATTCTGGGGTCGGTAATGTGTTGATGGTTTAATGAGATCGAACCTTCCGAGAGTGAATTCAAATCTTTGTCCCTAAGTCTTTGAATTTTTTGATCAGAACTAAGCTCAAGGGATCTCAAGACTCTTCCGCTCGCCAGCTTTATCGAGGCGAACATTAAAAAGTTCCGTATTTCTCTTCATAGACATCTTTCAAGACTGGATATGACCAGTCAGCGTGTCGATGTGAGCAGCTGAATTGCTCTTGTCGTGCTCCTTTTTTAAACACATCTTTTTTTTTCTTTTCTTTTTTTTCCCTTGATGCTGTTGGAAAGACCTTTCCGCTTTGGAGAGACCGTTCCGCTTTTGGATTTTGAAACGGATGTGCTCACTAGAAACCTTCCGGAGTACATGCTGTATTTTTCCGCGGTTTCCGCGGTTTCCGCACTTTCCACCTTGCCTCGGGGAGGCTCCGATGCTCTCTACCAAGACGTGGTGCATGAGCCCAAGAACTTGGAAGTTTGGATGTTTTTTAATCATTGCTCTGGAATTTAGTTTTGCTAATAAGCGGGAGCGCTAAGAATATGCACATTGCTATTTCTTTCCTTCTCTAACTGCTCTTAGTCTTGCGTAACAGCTTGCTAAAGAACGCTGGGTCCGCAAAAAAATGCAGTCCCAGTACACTCAGCTCTTCTTAAGGTATTTCCTTGGGCCATGCGGGCAGTGGAATGAAATGGGGAACGAAACGACGAACTAGGATGATTATTATATCCAAGAAGGGCAATATATAGTAGACGAGAAGTCAAGCCAGAATAGAAACCCAAAAGAAACAGAGGCCATGTCTATACACAATTTCAGACTGAATAGAACCAAGTACGAGATAAAACTGAGACGCAAGCATGTCGAAAAATATATGAAGCAAAACTAAAAGAAACTATTTGGGTGGTAGCTTGGGAGTGATGCATTTTAGATAGCTTGCCAGATGGATGAGGAGAATGAAGTAACAGAGACTGCGGCCAAGAAATAATCTATTCACAGAAAAGAATCGAGATGAAAACTGAGACACGGCAGACAGTGAAGCGAATAAGGCTTTGGGCGAACTTCGCACTTGGCCGGTCATAGAAAACAGCAAGTTGAAAACAGAAAAGATGAAAAAAAAAACAGTAGATATAGACGGAAAACAAGAAGAAACCCCCGGTTGCGACTGCTTGGAAGAAAATTGAGAGGGGTAGGTTGAGGCGGAGTGTTTGCCAGTGTGATATTCAAAGTGAAACTGAGGATTTCGCACTATGTTCAGACAAAGATGACAATGGGTAAGAAAAAGAGCGTTATAAGAATCAAGGAAGATATGATAGTTTCATGCCCTGAAGAGCTTTTGGACTTACCTGGCAATGAGTCAGCAGTCAGTGTGTCTATTTCTTTTTCTTGCCTTGGGGCTTCTTCGGCTTAGGCTTGGACGATCCGCTTTTGGGCTCTGGAGCTTTCTCAACGGGGGCAGGAGGGTCTCTTTTCCTCTTCGATCGAGTGAGATACCCGGAAGTGGCTGAAGATCCTGCTGCGTTTCTCGACCCACTTGCTTGGCTGTCGACCAACCGACTTGTGCTCGGTTGGCTGGCTTCGGGCTGTTTCGTCTTGCTCGCAGCTTTCTTCCCCTTATCTTTGGCAGGCTGTCTGGCTTGTTTCCCGCTGTCGACCAATCGACTTGTGCTCGGCTGGCTGACTGCGGGCTCCTTCGTCTTGCTTGCAGCCTTCTTCCCCTTGGCTTTGGCCGGAGGTTGCCCTGCTTTCCCGCTTCCGACCGACCGACTGGTGCTCGGCTGGCTGGCTTTAGGCTGCGTCTTTTTGCCAGCAGGTTTCTTGCCCTTGTCTGGGGCAGGTGCTCGGCCTGCTGTCCGGCGTACTAGAGCTGGTTCGGCGGCTGGCGGGGCATCCGGTAGAACCGCTTCCTCTTCTTCCTCTTTTTTGATTTTGACACGGCTCTTCGAGTTTCCTTTGGCGACTTTACCAGGCCGACTAGTACTTTCCTTGGCTGGAGCTTCATCCGGGGCGGAGCGCTTCTTGCTAGTCGAAGCCGATGCTTGAGCCGGGCCTCGGACAGGAGCTTTTCCCTTTCCCTTTGCTTTCGCAGGCGGATTGTCAGCCTCGAGACGCTTTGGAGCGGGGCCAGCCGCGCCTTCTGCATCCCTTTTTCTTTTCGATCGGGTTTGATAGCCCGATGCGACTGGCGCCTTTGCTTTGCCTTTCGCTGCAGTTCGGCTGCTTGCGGCGACTGACTTGGTGCTCGGTTGCTTCGGAGCCGCTTCCGATGGCTTAGCCTGAGGTTTTGGGGCCGGTGAATGTGTGGGCTTCCGGTCTTCCTCTGGCGAGACAGGCAGTCGAGATGTAACCACCGGTTGAATCGCTGGAGAGCGATGGGCCAATGGCGAGGGAGGTGGAGAAGGGGAGGGAGCGGGGGCGCGTGTTGCGGAGGCAGGCCGTGATTGGGCGGTCTGAGCTGGCGAAACAGGAGAAGCATGCCGTGATGCGACGGTACGGGCCGGAGAAACAGGGGATACACGCCGCGATGCCACGGTCTGGGCTGGCGAAACTGGGGATGCACGCCGTGATACCACAGTCTGGGCCGGAGAAACAGGTGATGCACGCCGTGATGCCACAGTGTGGGCAGGCGAAACGGGTGATGCACGCCGTGGCGCCACAGTCTGGGCTGGCGAAACAGGTGATGCTCGCCGTGATGCCACGGTCTGGGCTGGAGAAGCCGGGGATGGGCGCCGGGATGCAGCGGCCTGGGCTGGCGAAACAGTCGGTAGAGGAACGACCGGCCGTGGTGATTGCGGTGGAGAAGGGGAGCTAGAAGGGACGGCGATAGGTGAAGGACGGCGTGAGACCGCTTGGGAGAAGGCCAATGAAACCCGCGGCGATATGTCTCGGACGGATGCGAGGTATTCGCGAGGGGGTGCATTAGGCGACACCACGGGAGATGCCCGAGGAGGGGAGTCCGGGGGCAGCCGGGTGAAGAGTCCTGCAGCCCAGCGAGGGGAGAGCTGAGGAGGCGACCCTCGCGTTGAGGTTGTAGAAACGGCCGACGATGCCGATGTCGCTAGAGGGGCGAAGCGAGAGGGTCTTGAGTGGGACAGCGTTGGAAGCTGGGGAGGAGGAGACCCTCGCGTTGAGGTGGTGGAAACAGCCGATAAGGCCGATGACGCGAGAGGGGCGAAGCGAGAGGGTCTCGAGTAAGACAACGTCGAAGAGGCGGGGGGAGCCTCACTTGAGTCTAACAATGAAGAGGCCGAAGAAGAAGGTCTTGAGTCAGACGGCAATGAGAATCGGACCCGTAGGCCTTGCCGCGAGCGACGCTGTGATGGCGCCGAAGGAACTCGCGATGGGCCCCGCGATAGTGCCGAAGGAGCTCGCGATGTTGACGCTGAAGGCCCTTGTGATAACGCTGAAGGAGCTCGTGATGATGCCGAAGGAGCTCGTGATGATGACGCCGAAGGGCCTCGCGAAGAGGTACCATCAGGTCTTCTGAAGTTGGGGAGGATTAGTGGTTGCAAGAGACGCGCCCAAGCTGGCTGGGTTAGGTCGATTGCCACTCTAGGGGCTTCAGTTTCGGGCGCAGAGGTTTCAGCCGGTCGAAGAAAGGAAGGGAGCCCTATGCCGAGAAATCCCCATCGTGAGGAGTCTGTCGCTGCTGAAGCCCCCGAAGAGGCTTGGGCAGAAGCAGAAGATTCGGAGGGAGCGTGTGTGGCTGGGTCAGCCTCAGCCGGTGGCACAAAGGATCGGACAGATGGGAGCCGACGCGAAGAGGCTTGTGGGCCGGAGGAAGATGCGGGGTTGGAGGAAGATGTGGGGTTGGAGGAAGATGTGGAAGCCGGGAAGAGTCCCGGCTGGGGAATGGATGACCGGGGGAAGGTCGGTGATGTTGGCGGCGAGCCAAATATAGTTGAGGGTGGAGAGTCTCCAGCGACGGACTCTGGCGGTGAGATCGACAATGGTCGCGAACCGCCTTGAGGGGAAGTAGGTCTGGTAGGAGGGGCAATAGTGGAGAACGACCAGGGAGGTGAGTCCGTCGATGATGAAGAGGAGGAAGAGGAGCCGGAGGAAGATTCCGGCGATGCTGCGAGAGGAGGGGCAGAAGTGGTGAAGGGTGCAGGGGCAGCCGGAGTGAATGGACGGGAGAAAAAGATGGGGCGGGTCGACGGGGAAGGGGATGGGGGCGGTGGCGGTGGCGCGGGAAACTCGTTATCTGGGGAAGGGGGTGATGGGGCGAGAATGAGAGGGCATGCCGTAGGAGAAATGAGCTCAATGCCTCTGTCCGATTGGTCGGGATTCCTGCCATATGCTCCCAAGACCGGGTTACCGTGCTGAGTTGCCTTGGGCGCTTCAGGGACTGATCGGTATGGTTCGACCCGGGAGCGGTGGAGGACATTCCCGTTGGTGTCGAGCACGGTGGATTGGGCAAGCCCGGAAGGTATCCGGGCTGAGGTGGAACATCTTGCGATCCGTCTTGGTGGAGGGCTAGGAGTGCGCTGACTCCTACCAGGCATGGCGTTTCGGCTCGTGCTGGCAGGACGCAGGAAGCAGCTTGTGTAGATGGAGGGGTAGGAAGTTTGTTGGGGTTCCATGACTACTTATGAGGTGGGGGATTTGTTTGTTGTGAGGTAGGGCGGGAGGAAATGGTGGGATAAGATTGAGGTATGTAGGGTAAAAAGTTGGTACTGCACAGAATGCTGATGTTGAGAATGGGAACAACAGATCAAATGCCTTCCTTAAGTAGTGTGAGGCTCATCACCAGCTGGCTCAATCAGTCAATGACTGAGTCTCTCTCGAGGGTGATACTTGGACTGAGTTTGTTTCCGGCTGCCCTTAGCCTACAGGGCTCTTTTGAGTAGAAAAGCAGCGTCGGAATTAAACTCAAATATGCTTTGTTGAGTGAGCGGAGAGAATTGGCGACTAGTGCTGGAATTAGCAATATATAGCTCAGGGGGGGGGGCGATCTACACACATAACCTTTTGCCTGTACAACGAGCCTTTTTGTTCTTCAAAACAAAACAAAAAAGTGTTGTGATACATACATAGAGTCCAGAGGAACAAGCGGCCTCCGGTACATTTCGCATTATGCTTTTGTTCGGGAAGCGGTCCAGCGGTCCCGGCTCCAAGCTTCCATCTTCGGTCAACCCGACTGGTAAGTCTCGGCAGGTACCATTAACAGCGGGGGTCACTCTTGTGTGGTCGGCGTGGGTTGAGGGTACAAAAATTCCCGTTCCACCCTCCATTAACGATCCGCGACAGCATACATAGATGCTGTGGCCGAGTACGTCAAGCCAAACTGCGATACCCCTAAACCAAATAAGGTCCTAGTCATTTCTCTTGGCTATGTATGCTAGACTGCTTCCAGGCTGATGCAATGGGCACCTAGTACCCCTAGACCTCAGTCGGCGACAGGGTAAACTGGACGGAAAGAGTCATTGACTAGCATCAGTCGCCCAAATAAAAAAACCCTATTCGTGAAGGAGAGGGTATTTATAACATCTAGCTTAAACTGCTATGTGTGTATATGTAGCATTGCATCTTCAGGATAGCTCAAGATACCAATCCACACCGCGGTGCCCCCAGGTCGCTACACTGCGGATTATGAGGGCGGGGTATGTAGTTACAGTCAAGCTTGACACAAGTCTTGAGGCCAAGATGGTATTTCTTTTGATCCACATCCACGGTTTCCTGAATTTTAAGGGTGCTCGTGGGTGATGGACAAATGTCGAATCGCGACAGCTTGCCAGGGTGACGATGGTCAACGGGGGTGTTCCACTGAGAATTGGTACTCAGTTGATCAAATTCCATCGACTCCCTTCCTACAATCAGGTTTCTCCTGGTGATGGTGGTTCATCGGCACACGCAATGAGCTCGTTTCCTCAGGCCCGGCGGCTGAACTGCTCACACGGCGAGCGCCTTCACGGGTCGTTTTCAAAAGTGCTGTGCTGGTGGATGTGATGAAGCAGTGAGAAAGGGTCAGCCGCGCTGGCTATAAGTGCTAGTAAACTGGGTCGGCACTGCAAATACTAGGCGCTGGTGGCTGAGCAGGGTTTTTACTTGATGGTTGTAAACACACTGACACAGTGAATAATCATTTGAATCGGCCGTGGACTTGCGGAGTTTTGTGTTTGAGTTACTTTCTTTTGTGACAGAGCTTGAGGAAGGTGTTCGTGGACGAGGTTTTGACCAGGTTATTTTGGCTCTCTCGACCATCCCGCACAGCCGTGATACTGATTGCCTCAAGCTGCGAGGGTTATTTGACTGCCTCTGATCACCTGTTTTCTGCTCTGGAGTCAAGCATGTATACCCACAAAGCAAGCCTTTCGCTTCGCCAATCGGCTTGGTCTTACAACAATGGACAAGTGAATGAGATTGGGCGCGGGTGTAACATTGCGGAAGGTGGCTGTGCAACTCCTAGCAACTCGCCAAAACCTCAGCTGCGTGACGTGTGGCATCGATCAACCACCAGTCCACGGTCTCACATGTTTGTTTCATGGGAGGAAATGAGGGATGCACATCCTAAGCTTAAGATAAAAGGTCGACATCCAATATCCCGCCACTCCCAATAATCATTACCTTATCAATCCAAACGGCAGTCACTCCTTCACGATACAATTTACGAGAAAGCAAACGTATAATCAAAAATAAGTTTATTTATTCGCAAGACCCTCATTTAACCCGCTTTAGCATTGACCAGCATCGGTCAAGAAGTGCTTATATCGAAGAATATCAGCCATAATGTTTTTCAGACCTATTGCTATTACTTCACTATTCACCGCCGTCTTGTGGTTTGGCTTTGGAAGTCGAGTAGTCTTGGGAGACATTGAGAATGACGATGAAGACTGCCAGATTTACACCGATGCGCGTTCCCCCACAGCCAGTAAGCCTGGCGTTCATTTCTGTATTGATTTGACCGCCATTCCTTCCAGAATTTAGCTAAGTGAATATTGTGTCTTACCTTTTTTCTCCCTTACCTTCAGCTTGCAATGGGATTTACAAGTGCGCCGGGGGCTGCACCGGCTATGTCAGTAAGTGCCCATACATTTAATTTTCCTTTACACCATCTTTGTTGTCATTTGAGGTTTTTCGAGTTAATTGCTGATGTGCATGTTGTTAGCTGCCACCAATTGTACGCGTAGTCAGCAACCAAATGACATGAAACCGCCATTGACCACTGAGAAGTGCAAACTTGGATATGGTAAATCGTCGGCAACCATGGCCAGTAAGTCTCATGAGCCATCGCATTCCAGCATCAAATTACAAGATCGATCTTCTGGATGATTACTGGCTGACACTGCCTGCCTGTATTTCCAGTTTGCATTAACGAAGATGCCAGCTTTACTTGCTATGGCCCGGCGACTGGCAAAGCTGGTGAGTCCGATGATAACACCATGCACAAATGTCTTGATTTTTTCTGATCATCTGTTCGCCATCAGAGTGCAAAGGTTGTGTTGATTTGAATCACCAGGGCCCCAGCGGTCCGGATCCCCACTCAGTCTCTGTCTCAGGTGACAACTCAAAAGGCGGCTCCAACACCACTCCAATCGTTGACACAAATGGTCCAAATGTACTTAAACATTCATCTGGTGCCACAATCAGAATCAATATGTTCATCTTCTCTCTTGGTACTCTCCTATCTGTTATTTTCTTCTGATGGGTATGCTATGGACAATCCAGTTTTCACCTCATACTTGTTTTGTTATGATTTGATGGGTGCTTTCAAAGTGTTGTTCTTTACTTTCACAGGAAGTTTTGGATTTTTTCTGTTCTCTTTTGAAACATGTGAGGTGTTTTTTTTGCATGTCACTGTATGCAGCTTGATTTGATTACTTTCTTCTAGATGTTATTACGTAATGGCATCAGAGATTTTTCTGGATGAATGGTTCTTAAATGCAAGCTTTGAGAACATTTACAAATTCAAATAAGACTTCTCTTGGGATTCAATTTTGAAAAATGTGATTTTCTTCCATCTTCTACACAAGAAATTGAAAAAAAAATGGAGAGCTGATGTTAAAATTCTTTCAAGGCCAGAAACTAGCTTGTGGTGATGGTCACGTCTGTTGATGAAAGAATTTGAGGCAGATAAATTCTTTTTGTAATATCCTATGTCAACTGTACACAGTTGCCTGACTTTTTCCTGCAGTGTAAGGTGCTTGCTCAAAGTCATTGTGTACATCAAATCTCATTTAAATTATTGTAAAAAAGAGTTTCTAGTAACAACAGTGGACCGCTAAGCTACAGGCCCTTGTAGCATTAGTGTAGCGGCAGTAGGAGCAACTATCTTTTGTGTAGTGTTAGCACACACTCCCTCCCACTACACTACACTACTTTGTAGCGGCACTAACAACACATCTTCCTTTGGGTAGTGTTAGTGCACCACTACTGCCAATATGCTATGTTACACTACACTACAGCATTTCTAGCGCCACAAAAGGGCAAAAGGCTGATAAAGAGCACTGTAGCGCAGCATAGTGGGTGATTTTTTGCACCCCATGCATGTAGTGTTAGCGCAGATGTGTGGAATCACGCTAACAAGCTTAGGCGCCCTATGCACGTAGTGTTAGTGCAGATTTGCAGAATTGCACTAATGCTATGCTAAATGTTAGCTTATTTTAGCTACACTACACTACACTACCACTATGGTTAGCATAGCTGGCCCACCGTTGCAAGGGCCCTAAGACAAATCAATCATATATATAAAGGGTTAACTTATCTAAGTCCCACCCAGTTGTGGTTGGGCTTGCAGTGGTGAAGCACTGAACCCCGCCCAACTGCAGGAAGGGACTTATGCTTAAAGTGGGGGTATGCAACCAAGGTCATCCACCAAGAAATTGAAAAATCTAGTGATCAATTTTTACAGACTGTAGTTTCAACACAATTGGGCCCAGCTACTGGAAGTTAGGATCTGCTTGATTCTGCTGATTTTTAGAGCTCACAAGCTACAATGTCCACCAAACCATTGAATTTCAAACAAATTGTGAATCAAACTCAGATTCCTCTATCTTAGCCTGCGGCTCAAGTTTTCCATGTAGCATCAAAATTCAAATTCTTGTTTTACGGTTTTGAGTTCAATTTTCTTGTAGACAACACTTTTTACAAAACTGAGTAGAGAGAAAGCAACAAGAGATGCAACTGCACCTTTCATTTTCTGGAACAACATGTGTAGCTCATTGAATGAAGGAGTTACAGGTTGTGTAATACAATTGATTTCTCAGATCCCCTCTGGTGAGCAGGGGCACTTTAGTCCTAAGTCCCTCCCTGAGGGACAAGTCTTTTGACATCTTTTCTGTGAATTTTTGTGACTTTTTTGATTTCAGATTTTGTTTCTCTATTGTTTCCTTCATTTCTCTCACCCCTATAACACTCTCACAAAAGCAATAATTATATTAGGGGGTATCAAATATAACTAAATCCACCATTATTTAATTGACTGGTTTGAAAAAATCCACCGTTTTTTAAACATGTTGGTTATCCATTTAACCCCTTTTGGGGCCCCTTTATGCAAAAAAATGTTTTTGGAAAAGTGACTGGTTTCTGATGGTGGATTTCCTATATTTGATACCCCCTATTGTATCCACTTTTAAAGGTTGTATTGTATTTGCTGAAAAATGAATACAATGTATTTGGTGCAAAAAATGAGAAAGAAAAATCAAAAGGAAAAAAGGGGGTCAGAAAAACGACTCCCAAAAATTGTCCAACAACTCCCATTTTGGTCAAGGGGTTGTGGGGAGGGAGTCGTTCCTCCAAATCGATGGCCAACTTTGGGAGTTGTCCATCCAATTATTTTTTAAGTTTTTTGATTTTTAGGGAGTTGGCACCCCAAACAACCCCTCATGCTTGAGGGGGTTTGGGAGTTGTTTGCTCCCATGACCAGAAGGATTTCCTTCTGGTCTACAAGAAAGAAAAACCTCATTGTCCAGAAGGGATTCCTTCCGGTCAATGAGGTATAACAACCTCATTGGCCGGAAGGGATCCTTCCAATTGATGAGGTATAACAACCTCATTGGCCAGAAGGGATCCTTCCAGTCAAAGGTATAACATCCTCATTGGCGGAAGGGAATCCATCAGGGATTCCTTCCGGTTGATGAGGTATAACATCCTCATCAGCTGGAAGGGATTCTTATAGGGCTCATTGCACCATTGAATGAGGGCAGACTTTCAAAGTCTTTCAAAAATGCTGGTGAAAGATGCCTAAAAGTTAAAAGTTTTGAAATTGTTTTTGTCAGACACTGAGACACTAGCCCAGGTGTCTACAATAAAAGGTAACCCCCTTGGGTTACATAATAAATATTATCATATGTAATTTTTAAGTTAATAAGTATACAGTTATGTTATTCTCTTTTATATGTATTAGTTATGTTAATAAAGGTTTAGTAAATGAATAAAGATTTACCTCTTTATTAATTTACCCTTTTCCTGAAAGTTATATTCAGATTGAAAAGGATAATTATCTCTTATGATTATCAAAGAGATTTATCCTGTGTATCTCTGTTGTAAATACTTATATTCCTGTTTATCTCTCTTAGGTGTATCTTCTGAAATAAGAGAGATTTTCCTCACATGTACTTTAATCTTCTTGACATTTCTCCCCAAAGAAATAACATAACCTTATGGGGACTGTACCGGTCCTACAAGCAGACTGACCTCTGCTCTGTAATACTTAAGGAGGAAGGCTATCCCTCTAGGATTCTTTCCCCCCAGAGATTACCATACAAACCCGCTACCCTTACCTATTTACAACAGTACAATAAGTGAGTGGGGTTTATTAATCTAATATAATATACAGTACATAATACTCTAGTTCTTCTATTTCTTGTACTAGTCAGTTACTGTTACCCTTTGTAACTAGACTAGTAATCAATTTCCTCTTCTCATAAGCCTGGTGCAGCGAAGTTGTTCCGCTGTCGTCCCTTATAACAATAAGGAGCAGCCCTTCACATACTCTAGTATATTGAAGAGGTTAATTCCACTACTTTGATTAATCAACAATAGTGCGACCTTTTTCCACTACGTTGTGTAAACAACAATAGTGTGACCCTAACTATCATCAACTCCTAGTCACCCAAGAGACGGGAGCTGACAGTTTTGCAACATCTTTCAAAAACATTTTCAAAAGCTGTGTTTAAGGTTTTGATCCAACACAATCTGCATAGAAACAGGAAATGTGTCAGATCAACGCCTCAAACACAATCTTTCAATATAGTTTCTGTATTTTTGACATAACTTTTGTAAGAAAATTTGAAAATTCTACAAAAGCTGATTTGAACTTGCAAAGGACTTGCATACCAAAACTATTTTGAAGAAAAACCTTAAAAGCACCGGCCTTGTAGTGTAGATTCCAGTGTGCCAGCGGTGGGCCGCTACACACAGGCCCATGTAGCGTTAGCATAGCAGCACCATTTTTTTTGTGTAGTGTTAGCGCACTGCTACTGCCGCTGCGCTACGCTAACTTGTAGCGGTGCTAACACTAGCCAATTTTTGGTGTAGTGTTAGCGCGCCGCTACGCTGCGTTACGCTACGCTACAGCGTTTTTAGCGGCAAAAAATGCCTAAAAACCGCTAAAAATTGCTGTAACGCAGCGTAGCGGGCGGTTTTTTGCACCTTGTGTGTGTAGAGTTAGCGCAGATGGGGGGAATCGCGCTAACGCTACCCTAAATGTTAGCACAAATTTTTCCCCCATGCGCGTAGCGTTAGCGCAGAAATTGAAAAAAGCACTAACGCTATGCTAAATTGTAGCAATTTTTTGCTACGCTAACGCTACGGTTAGCGTAGCTGGCCCACCGTTGAGTGTGCCTCCTTGGAGGGGACTTGTGTTAAGTTTGAACAGTGGAGGACTTCCTGTTGACCAGAGGGCTTAATTTAGACGGACCAGCTAAACTTTGTTTGCAGGTGAAATCTTGCGGTAAAACAATTTTCACCAGCCAATAAGGTTTAGCTCTTGCTTGTAAATTTACAAATTTAGACAATGGGAAGTCCTCCATTCACCGCTTTGGGGTAGGTCCATACTGTAACTGTCAGCCATGAGACATGTAGGACATGTCCAAATGTCTGCATTGGCTCATATTCCCATGAGTTGATTTAGTTTAGTGGTTTGATGACCACTTCAAAGGATGAGGTATATCTTGATGGATGTACCCAAGCCCCAGTGTCCTTGGTATCTTATTCTACACTTATGTAATAAATAAATATTATACATGTGTATTAAAAGCTTAGTCATCTTTCTCTTGATTATCTGCTGTAATGAGAGAGATGATTTCCAATGAGGATTTAATTATTTATCTCTCTCTGTATTGATTCACCCAGAGAGAGAGATGATGTCATTTCCTCCGCTTTTGGTGTGATCATAATTTAAATACATATTTTGATCATTTATGATTTAAATACATAAATGATCATCTGTGGACCTGTCCGGTCCAACAGGCAGCCTGAACCCTGCCTTGCAATACTTAATGGGAAGGCTTTCCCTCTAGGATTCCTTCCCCCAGAGATTATTGCCATACAAACCCATTTATGTGAGGTGATGGGGGCGCAGACAAGTCCCCGCCGTCCATGGCCACCAAGGCGTAGAGCTGCCACTGACCGCCCTGTCGAGCACTGGCTGGATCCGTGCCCTGCCACCTTCACACTGCAGTCCCCCCCTCGACAGCATCACCTTTTAAAGGTAGGACCCACCCATCCTGTCCGCACTCTCCTGCTCGTCAATCCTCCCAGCTCTACGCACAGCGCCATACTCGCCTCTCCTCCATACCATCGAGGCTTTTTCACGTTTTTTGATTTAAACAAATTACAATTTTCTTCTCCAGGATAAAAAGACCCTGCGGCTATCCAACCTGTGATTTCCATTTCATAAGCCCGCCATCATACTCCCACCCTGATTGTTCCATCCCAGGTTAGAACACTGCTTCGTTCTGGGTTCCCTGATTGTTTCATCCCAGGTTGACTTTTCATTCCAGGTCGACAAGCTCCCTGATTATTATTTTTTTTTCCCATCGCGTTACCACCATCACTACCGTTGCGTTACCACTGTCAGTTTCAAGCGGAAGCAAAGCGGGACCAGGATAACAAGACCCTCGGTATGTCTTCATAGTACTCAAAATACCTTAGTCAACCCCTTAATAATAATTTCGGTTATTACCAAAAGCCTTACAGATGTCGTCGAATACGACTACCCGTTCAAAGGGAGCGAACAAGAACTCCGCGCTAGATCCACAGCCTAGAATCAAGGTGTCCACCCCTACAGAGGCAGAGACGTCTGAACCAGCGGTCAACCCTACTTTATTAGAAGGCTCACAAGATAGTGGAGGAGACGAGTCCTTAGACCTCATTAGTAAAAATCCCGGTAGGCTTCTCGTATTCGATTTTGTCTATTCATGAATTTGTCTATTCAACCAGTACCACAACCTGACACGATTGATTTGTGCTTTACAGAATTATCAGCAGAAGCATTAAAAACAATCGCGGACAAAACTTCCATTCCACCCAAGAAAGAGCTCCCGTCTGATAAAGAAAGGGACCATATTTGGTCTAAGATCAAATTAGCTCAAGGCGAGGGAGACAAAATCTTAGCAAATGCTTTATTGGTAGCGTATGAAGCGATGAACACCTCCGGACCTAGGCCTGTCATGACCACAAGATCGGCATCAGCAAGACCCGTTCTGTGCATCTCCGATCATCAATCCTTAGCAACGACCGCGACGGTAACGGAAACTGAAGAAAACGTGGTTTATGCAGTAGGAGCCGTCACGAGTCATCAAGATATCGGTTTCACCCCTTACTTTGACAAAAATATTCGTAAATTGAGGGTGCCGATTCCATTAACCATCTTTGACAGAGGTTAGCAAGGACTCATTCTCTCAGTTTTAAGAACGCGTCCCATGAATGTTGAATCTTATCTTCATCATCTTATGTCTTTAGAATGGCAAAAGAAAGCCCTCACAGCCCACATGTTGTTGAAACCGTCAAAATCCTCAGAAGACAAAGCTTATAGAGGCTTAGCGTATCACGACGAGTGGATGCAAACTCACTCTACCTGGACGAATAACCATCGATCCTTCTTTATCACTTTAAGAGATGTGTACAACAAGAGCATTTTCGCCAACAAACTTCTGATCCACAAAGCGAATTGCGATGAGATAGCGGACGTCTACGGGTTCATGACAGCTTTCAGATACAATATGCAAATCAGAATGAACGCATTCGCACACAGGTTACCTTCGAAGGACGGCGCAGCAGTCCCAGACATTACGGTGAAGCAAGACGTAGTCGTAGAACAATGTTATAGCATAGTGAGATCTCACGGGGAAACCAGTTGGAAAGATAATCATTACGCACCAGGTGGTTCGCTGTAAGGACTGGATTTGTCCTTCACTGAATGAACTGAGAAAGGCGCTGTTTTGGACACGGCTAGTGAAGCCTGAGCAGTTTCTAAGACCAAACACGGGGAGGAATTGATTACTGGCTCAGAGAGATGGGAGGGAACAGATCTCTCAGTACAATCTAGAAAAGGAGAAACAATAAGAAAAGAAATAAAGAAATAAGACTTACCTGGCTCAGAGAGATGGGAGGGAACAGATCTCTGCAGAGCCAGGAAGGGTAACTGAAAGAAGACTAAAAGGAGGGCGTGACATGTGAGTGAGAGGTTTGTGAACCCCAACTCAAGGGGGGGGTTTACATTTGCATGCGGCCTACGATCCAGACACAGGTGCCAGAAAACCCAAGCTATTTAGGTCTAATTCGGTTCCAAACCAAAACCATCACAGCAACAACCGTCAACAAGGTCAATTCAGTCAACACAACAACGGTTACGGTTACGGTTTCGGTAATCATCAAGAGAGGAGGAGAGACTCACAAAGACACCGTTAGGGGGGCAATATGAATCAAGGAAGTTTTCATAACAACTCTCCCAACAATTATCAATATAATTCAAACTACGACAACAATCATTCGCATGCACACCAACACCACGCGAGCTTTGTCAATAACTACGACAACAATAACGGCGGTAACCACCATCAACCCATGGGAGATGGTAGGAAAAGGTTTAGAAGCTCAGGGAATAAATCAGAGACAAACGACAAACTTTCATCCAGCATGACTGGTGGTAGCAAACCGTAGGTTTGGCTTAAATGTTTCCTTTAGATTGTCATCAAATAGAGTTGTTTTTTTTTAAAAAAAAAAAAAAAAAAAAAATTGTAGACAGAAGATAATTGTTTTTGTTTTTGTTCGCAATGTTGTTTCTAGTCCATTCTGTGCTACAAAAGCTACTTGGCCAGTAACGGTATCATGTGAAATGAACATTGAAGAGTGGAAACAAGCTTTAGATAGAGCGGGCTTGTTGCCAGAAATGCTCCATATCCTTGAGGGTTTCAAAATCGGTTTCGATCAAGGGATACCTGATCATAAGGTTGGTAATGAGAGATGGTTTACACCAGACAATCACTCCTCAGCTGTCAACGCAGAAGAGAAGATACAAAAATCTATAAAGGAAGAGGTAGAGGCCGGGAGAATGTTTGGCCCATTTTCACACGAAGAAGTAGCTGAAAATTACGAATTTTTTCGGACTAGTCCCTTGGGTTCAGTTGTAAATGCAGACGGGAAGATGCGTCCCATCAACAATCTGTCCTTCCCAAGGAATGACAGCGAGATAAAGTCGGTGAACTCTTATGTGGATAAGTTAGATTTCACCACCACATGGGACGATTTCACGATCGTATCGACCTTTTTCAGATCACATTCCGAACTGTTTGAGCTTGCCCTTTTCGATTGGGCAAAAGCTTATCGGCAAATTCCAACGAGGGAATCACAGTGGAAGTACTTGATGGTGAAGGACCTTCATGGAAGACTCTACGTCGGCACCAGGATTACCTTTGGAGGCGTTGCCGGATGCGGTTCTTTTGGTTTGCCAGCAGATGCCTGGAAACAAATAATGCAGTCAGAATTCGATGTCGTCAAAATATTTCGGTGGGTCGACAATAATCTTTTTGTCAAACAGAAAAATTCCTCTTGCGACATGAAATCCATAGCCGAGAGGTCGGTAAAATTAGGAGTCGCAACTAGCGTTGAAAAATGCTCAGAATTTGCTGAGGAACAGAAATTCATAGGATTCATATGGAACGGGGTTTCCAAGACGGTTAGGTTACCAGATGCAAAATTGGAAAAGCGTAAAGAACAAATCAGAGAATATTTACAACCGATGAATGAATTCAAGCTTAATCAAGTCAAAATTTTGGCAGGAAGACTCAATCATGTATCGTTGCTCCTTCCGCAACTAAGATGCTATTCTAGAAGCGTCTACAGGTGGATGAACAAATGGAAGAAGAAATGGGCTACGCGGGCGCCACCAGAAGACGTAATAGAAGACTTATTGTTTTGGTTATCGACCCTGAACAGCTATTCAAGTACCAGGCTATGCCCCTTGTTAGACCCTACCAAGATAAATTGGGTAGGTGACGCGTCGACAAGTTTTGGAATAGGCGTCCTCATTGGAAGACGGTGGTCCCAACTGCGGCTGAAAGAAAATTGGTCAGACGCAAGTCAAAAGCGAACGATCGCGTGGCTGGAGACGGTCGCGATCAGGATAGGAATCCTGATGTTGCTGTCCATAGGCACAAACTTGAAAGGCCGTAACTTCATAGTCTGGACGGATAATACTACGACGGAGAACACACTACGATCGAGAAAATCAAGAGATTTCCATTCGAACAACGAATGGAAACAAATCCAGAAATTACTGATTACTGAGGATCTAGACATCACCCCTTCAAGGGTGACCTTGGCTGAAAACATCTCCAATGGATTGTCGAGAGGGGTCCAAAGACCTCATGTAAGGGAAAACAGGGTCTGGTTTGATATCCCCGACGACTTGTCCACCTTCATGTTTCACGCATAGTTTTTCTCAATCCTTCATCTTTCCATAAATAAGAGCTTGTTTTGATCTGAACCCCCTTGTGATTGCTTGATCTCCTATCTATCTTTGTTTCTCTGGTACACAAAACTTCACTATGTCACTCAACAAGCCGAATGTAATCCCATTTAATAAAATAACCGAGTTTCTATGAAATGGGACATTGATCCGGTCCCCTTCCAATGTCGACCTGCACATTCTATCTGGATGGCAAGTATCAACTCTCAAAAGCTACAACAGCGCTGTGATTAAATATTTGAAATTTACGGCAGCGACAGGAAGTCACACCTTCATCTTACCGATCTCGCCAGACGACGTTGAGAGGTTTTGTTTGTGGGCTGGACGAAGCCTTTTCTTGCAAGACGCTTCCAAGATTTCGGCGTGCTCCATCAAAAAGTATCTCGCGGGTCTGCGAGCGTGACATGGTTTCCATAACGAAAAATTCCCAGACATCAACAAAACTAGAATCGATCTGATGCTGAAAGCGTCATCCAAAGAAGACGAATTAGTCGGCAAACGAGCGAAGAAGCTGCCAATGATGCTATGGCACATGACCCATCTATGGAAAGAACTTTCCGATGGATCCGATTTTGACAAGGCGGTGCTAGACGTGGCTATCGTGGCCTTTTGGGGTCTAGCTAGGCTCTCGGAACTATCCTACGATTCAGAATTCGGCGCTGTCAGCTTCACTTCGTCCGTCCTTACTTCGGACGTAGTGTTCGACCCCGAAAACAACAGTTTTGCCACAATTGTGATACAAAACGCAAAGACGGGCGCTCCTGGTAAACCTCAGTTAATCACACTGAGAGAACAAGACCACGTCCTGTGTCCGATCCTAGCACTGAAGCGTCGGCTATCCTCAAGTTTAGGCACCACTACAACTCTATTTGGTAACATGGAAGGCGGGGTACGGCATCATCTCACTAGGAGGAAGACTGTAGCCCGCGTGGAACAAGTTCTTGTCGACAGCGGCTATGCAGGCTTACACGGCCATTCATTCCGGGTAGGCGGGGCCTCTTTTCGTCTGGCACTGGGAATGTCTACACCAGATTTGTGTTCTTTAGGCAGGTGGAAGTCAGATTGTTACAAGTTGTATGTAAGGCCGTATGACCAAGACACCAAAAAGAAGACGCTTGTTTTATTGTCCCCCTTGAAGTCAAACTGGAGAAAGATGGGTTTGTAGTTTAGGCAATCTATCTGTTTCTATTGGGAGTTCGGGTTTTCTCTCTCTCAGCTCAGGCTCCCACTGTGTGAACCTAAGATTGCGGGCTTTGAGACCGAGTCCACCTCTCTCTGCCTTTCTAACACTTACCCACATTTCCACCAAGCCTTTTCTAGGCCAAAGGGTTGAAAGAAAAAGGGACAACCCCCTTTCATCCTCCCTTTTTTACCGCATGGGCGCGAACCCTGAGCACAAGGCGTCTAAACCCCGCCTTGTCTCAGCTACGCGCCCACGCCTGGGGAAGTCTTGATGGAAAATGGACCTTACTTAAAATTAGTGAGTGGGGTTTTAGCAGTACACTCTCTCATTTCTCTTTACCTTTTATCTTGATCATTATTCTACTATCCTAGACTGCAGTTAAGTCACTACTGTAGCCTAGAAGAGAGTAATTGTACCACTCTGAGCTCAGGCGCAGTGATGCTCATTCCACTGTCGTCCCCTCTAACCCAGGGAGCTAACCCCTCCGCTTCCTAGCGTCAAGGTGAGGTTTCATTTCTACTGGCCTTTACAGGCTATAGTAAGACCCATTACCCCGTCAACACCAGGTCACACAAGAGACTGGTGCTGACAGTAACACCTAAGCTCAATCTCTCTTGATTTCAAAATCTCAGATTTCATTTTGTATTTGGCATATTCTGGAATTATTCAACAAATCTCTTTCAAAGGCAATGATTGGAGGACTTGTTGGATCTGGGACCCTCATAGATGTTGATTTAGACCCAAAAAGTATACATCAATTTTGCGGGGAAATCTAACTCTTGTGGCTTTAAATTGCTTCACTTCTTATTCTAAAGTTTGATTTGTAGTTGTTTCTAGAACTCTGTATTTTTGAGCTTCACAAATATTGAAGGACTGGTTTTGAAGCCTCGACTTCTCCTACGTGATCCCGGTTCTTACACAATGACATTAGGGCAGTTCACGTTCCAGCCAAACCTCTGCTGATGCAGCTTAAGGTTTGCTTGCTGATGCACAAGCCTGATGAACTTTAAATGTGGGATTTTGAATCCAAAGGGGGACCTCCCACTAAACTATTTTGGTTTCCCAAAAACCTTAAAACAGCCATTCCAGCAAAGTTTGACTGCTGATTTCAAAATCAGCAGTACGTGAACCCCCTTATTTTTGTTTCCAGCAGTCATCCGCATATTGTGTGAAAAGGAATTCATTACTTATAAGGGCCAGATTAGAATTATCGCGCAGAAAATTGATTCCTTGCCGGCATCCCACGATTTGGCGTATAAAGAGCCGAAAAGTCCGATGTCGACACCGAGACTCTCTCCTGTGCGGTGCATCTACATAAATAGCAATTTCGAAGTCGGTTGACAAGAGGACCCAGACAAGCGCGGCCAGAACACTGCAACGCAGACCTTCATTTGATAAGGATTGTCTTCAATTTGATAACAAGGCAACTGGAGTACAATATTTGCGTCATTGGCAGAGCTTCGGGTGTCTAGAACACCTGAAAATAGCCGTCTTGTGCACCACAAGATTGGTGGGAATATGATTTTTGTGGAAATAAAAACTAGTACATATCCTTCACCCACCCCGAATTCGCGATCAACTCACTCAAAGTAGCAAATCGAAGACCACATCAAATTCCTACCCCTCAGCTTTAACCCATCTCCTCAGCGTCTACATAAACCCAACATGATTTGAGGTGCTTTCGCGATCCTCTTAGCGGTGAGCGGATTGATCCACATGACATCCGCATGTACAGCCGACCACCCTGTCGGCAGATGTCGTTTCGATACGCCCACAGGAAACGGGCAAATCAGCGTTACATACACCAATACCAACATCGTCAATGGAAGATGCAGCGGGGCTCGTGCAGCTCAAGAGGTCTAGAGTGTTAGAGACTCGCGATGAATAGGCTAAAGTAAGAAATCTCTGGATTTCGTAAAGAAAAGGAACTGAGAGACAACTGGGGAAGAGTCCCCTGCAAAGAGGGCCAATTTATATTGGCCCCGTACAGACTAGAAGTATGGACTAAAGAAACATGAGTGACAACATAAGAAGCCTCATGGCTAATGAATGTAAAGGAAATGAACTATCGGCTATAGTATCTCCGGGCCGAACCCGGTTTCGTAAGGAGGAGTAGGCAAGCCCCTTGCGTCAGAGCAGGGGCGCCAGATCTCCTCATGGTCGTCTCAACGGTACAGGGGCAGCGTGCTGCCCAACTACCTGTAGCCCGGCTACAAAGACCTGTCTGCAAAAGCGGAACTCCCAAGTGCTGTGCTACTGATATCCCCGAGAATGTAAGCCCGAAATGTCCTCTATAACTCGCTTGATGATCTGGAGTAACAAAAGTGGAGACTCATGATCAAATTTAAAACTTTTCTTTTCTTCTTTCCAACACTAGTGCCAGGATCCTTAAAACTGAATGACTCCACGCTCTAGGATTGACCGGAAAATCTGAGAAATCGGGATCGATACTCGATGTGTATGAGCGTTCAGATCCCCCAGCTGCATCAACATCTCCCAATTATCTTACCCCCATCGTTGGAATTCTGGCTTTCTTTCTTAGCCGTCCCTTCCTCGATTTATGTTCTCTCTCCCTTCACCGTATAGCTTCTACTCTTTTCATTTACTGCTTTGAATGCATGAAGAAATCGCTGTCTCTGAACCCTTAGACAATCCTTTTTGATCGCATTCTAGCCTATCTTCTCTTTGTTGGCACTGTTTTTTGAGAGCTCTTTCCTGTCTTCTGGCTTCGATTCAGACTATTGGAATGCAAATCACTACTGCCAAGCTTTCATCAGACATTAGCTGGGCGTCTCCAATACTCATTCTGGGATTTGAGCCCAGAACTCGACGCCCCCCCCCCCCAAAAAAAAAACAGTTTTTCAGGTTTTTTGGTGTCTGAGGATTGCTTTCGATTTCACAATCCCAGCATCAGAAAGCTGGCGTACCATATCTCCTGATCTCCTTCACTCACTCTCGAGTCCGACTCGCCGCAGCAATCACTAACTGCCTCTTCAATTTATGACCGGTGACCGGTCAGAGTAGGTGCCAGAGGAGGTCATCAATCGATAACCAGTCAGAGGAGGTCATCGATTGATAATAATTCATCATCAATCACCGTCAAGGGAAAAAGATGAATATCAATCATTGACCGGTCAGGGGGGGACCCATGATTGATCGATGACCCAGAGGAATTTCCTCATTGACTCTTGGTCATCGGTCTCTGGTGTACGCCGGTCATCGGAGGGAGAGGTATTCATCAGACACAGAAGTGTCTTTGTTTTCTAACTTGAATTGGACAAAGGGGGAACTCCCTGGTTGAGTGATGATTGGTGTTGATTATGCTTGAGAGGCGGAAAGATGGGCCATGTTAGGAAATGCAAGCCAATAATTGAGAATCCGAACAGAAATCAGAGTGTATTTTTCTAAATCCAGGATTCCGGATGAAAGGTTATACGAAATCCCAGGATTCTGCCACTGGGAGTGTCAAGATGGGCCTACAGCACACCGGATTCCGGATTCCCTATACATCCAACATATTGGTCTAATCCAATCCCAGCTTTAGAAAAGTATCATCGCAATCAAATCCATCAAAACTGAGTCGTCTGGCTACAAAATGCGATTCAAGAAGCGATGTACGCGCCGAGCGATGGTCTACATACCACTCCGTTAGCTCCTTCTCTAGTCGACCCAGTGATCATCAAACAAGCTGATTCTCTTGATTCCCGTAAACTCCGACAAAGCTTTTCTAAATCAGTTGGAAAAGGGTCTTCTACCTCTGCTACATTCGCTACTCGAGCCTTTTTCCTAAGAAGGACGACCAGACTCGTTCACTGTGCAGGAGCGACCAGCTGGCCTTGCACACTTAACTCGATGCTTCAGGTACAATCCGAATTAAACAGATGATTTCAAATCTATGTTTTCACATTTATTTCTCCAGAAAGAGTGTAGGCTCTATATTTACAAAAAAAAACTGCGACGAAGAAGTCAAAAGCTTGAGCTGACTATCTGGCCTCGATTCATTACTCACTGACATGTTCAAGGATCTACGACGTAGCGTGTTTACGGCGTCTTCTGAGCTTGTTTGGCGACTGGGGCTCTCTACGGAGACGTGAGATCATCCGGACGACTTGACCAGGATACCTGAAGTCGTATGATGCGAGAGATAGGCCGGGCCCAGAAATGACATGAACTGGAGAATCATAGGGTCGGAAGCTGTTGGAAGCGGTCTGGATTGGAATGATGGCTGGACTGAACCAAATCCTCCTTGTGAATATGCCCTCCATGAGATAGCCAAATCGCTGATCCCGGTCATCAAGCTTTCCAGACTGTCCTTCACGAAGGTATACGATTGGGCAACTAGAAATAAGGAAATGCCCTTGTTCACACAAAGAAGAGTTCGACTGACCAACTCGAAGATCATGTGGCCCGTTCAGCCTCATATATTATTGTACTGAAAATCTTAACGACTTCCACTTGAACTTACTCTTCAACCCGAATCCCGACGAGTTCTTCGGGACAGGCTTCACCAAAAAAAGGTCAAGATCAGGATTCAAACTAGCTTAGAAACCGTATCTTGTTCTTCTTCTTCCTTCCGTTCATCCCGAACGAATTCCCTGCCCAAGGTAATTTCAAAGAATGGTTAATCAACTAGTTCCCCACGTTAACTTGGGCGATACATGATTTTTTCATCAGAAAAAAAAAGTCGAATCACTTGCAACAAATTTCCCTAAATACATAGCTCCTATGTGCGTCTATGATCTTTGCATCTGTTAGCAAGGATGTGTACAAATGGAATCATGGAGATGAGTGTAGTGTTGTGGTACTTATATGATAATGAACAGAGAGAGAATCTAATTAGACAAACATCCAATTGTGAGCTTAATTTACTTGATTCTCCCCTGACAGTATTTCATTTTGAGAGTAACCAGTCTATGCCATCCTGGCCAGCCTGATGAGCTAATTGTGTCATCTTGATAATCGGTCATCAGTCGGCCCAGTCGGGGATTAAAGCTCTGTGATTGGCCATTAATTAGGGATCTTCCCTCTTCCGTGGCTGCCTGAACAGTATCCTTTTGTGATTGACCAGCCACAGATTAGTCTTTTGTGAAGGGAAAGAAGGTCCATAAGGAAAATTTGAGGCAGATGAATTCTGGAAAATTGGATTTCCATGCCTTAGGGTTATAAGGTGCTCAAAGTCATTGGGCAAGTCAAATCTCATTGAAATTTTTGAAAAAAAGAGTTTCCAGCAAGGGCCCTAAGGAAACTGAAGAACCAACATGTTTTGGTGGGTTTTTCAAAACCAGTCAATTAAAAAATGGTGGGTTTGGTTATATTTGATACCCCCAAGCAACGCTGCCACAGATACGGTATCTGCCTGTATCTGCCATGTATCACTATGTATCTGAGCCCCAATAAAAAAAAACTATCTGACCAATCTGATTTTATTTGCAAGGAGATTCAACAAATTTGGTTTTTGGCCATGCAGCTTTGCAGAATTCTTGATGATACACACAGTGTATCGTATCTGTGGCAGCGTTGCCCCAAGGTTGCCAAAATGACTGGCCAGACCACTCCCAAACATGTGTGCACAATTAAAGCAATTACTCCCAGTGCTGTCCAGATCAGATAGTCCTCTTGATTTATCCTATATTTTTGGGAGTCCTCAGCCTGATTTGTGGTATTTGATCAACCAAGCCTCTTGATAAATTGGTACTCACAACATGACTGTCAGGAGACAAGCCTGACCATCTTATGGGTGAAAAAAACTGCTGGGTTGAGTACTGAAATGGGGTATATAATCTGTATTCCAGCCCTTGTATTTACTGATTTCCAAATAGAATAGTTGGATAATCATCTTGGTTGCATCCATTGTTTCATCCTCAATCAAGCCCACCGTCTTGGGTTCAATTCCTGTTCAAGGTCCTCAAGCTGTAAACATCCTTATTCATCAAGACTACAATGCGCAACCTCATCATGTGGACCACAGTTGCAACAATTCTTGGATGTTACTCTGTTGGTGCTTATCCAAGGCAACAACCACCACCTATTGGGGCTCCTATTACTGGATTTCGTAAAAAGTGCCAGGTTTCTCACTTTAACCCCTGTGAACCAATAGGGGGGTTCACGATAGCATTTCACCAGAAATGTTTTATCGTCCCACCAGAACAGTTGCGCGTGCTGCGCAGGATAAAATTTAAGTACATTTTTGCGTCACCAGAAATGATTGACCAGTAACGTTTTGCAATGGAAACACACTGGTGAGCCCCCATCATCCATCTTCAGTCTCCGGTGATCCCACATCACCCATCCAAAACCCCACATTCCTGGGATACCCTCCGACTGCTCAGCCAATTACCCGAACACGCTCAGCCAATTACCCAACACCACGCGATGCACAAATACAGTGAACGGCAGCAAATCCTCCGAGACTTGTTCATGGTCTTGATTTTCCTCCACCACGAGGAGACCGACAGGCTCCTAGACTCCTCAATGAACATTCCCTCTGTCCCTTCACTTGGTTCAATTGCAGCACCGGAAAATCCCGGTCGGGCTTTGGTGCTAGACATGCTGTTCGATGACGAAGCTATGGTGTCTGACCTCATACGCTTGATACTTTCGAACCGATACCTGAACAACCGACTGCCGGGGCGAACTCACAACGAATATGACCTAGCACTGCTGTTTGACATGCGCGAGGAGGATTTCAAGCAAGCTGTCCGGACGACTAAGACCGGCTTCACCTGGCTGCTAGAACAAATTTACTTCAATCCAATCTTCTACAGCAACAGTCCCCGCCCGCAACTCCCCGTCCCTCATCAGTTGGCACTCACTCTTGAACGTCTAGGTTCAAACGGTAACGGGGCGTCCGTGGGCCGTTTTTCAAGGAACCTATCTGTGGGCCGCGGAACGGTGATCAAAGCTAGTCGCCGGGTGATTCGGGCCATCAACGACTTGTCTCAACGTTACTTGCTCTGGCCAGACACGGATAGGAGAGACGAAATATCAAAGGTCATGAAGGCCGAGGGGTTCGAAGGATGCATTGGTTTTGTCGATGGAACGACTATTCCGCTTTACCAGCGGCCTTCTATCGACGGTGAGGTGTTTTTTGACCGCAAGAAACGATACTCAATCAATTGTCAGGTCATCTGTGACTGCGACCAATTCATCACGGCATACATGACTGGATGGCCGGGCTCGTGTGGTGATAGTATGGTTTTTAAGAGAATGATGGTCCATAAGGAGCCAGCACTCTTCTTTGATCCTGGTTGGTTGATATTCACTAATTCAAATATGTTCAACATGTGGTTAGACTAATGTACTGCCTATGCTGGATCAGGACAGTACCTGATTGCCGACTCAGCTTATGAATTGGGTCTGCACTGCATTCCAGCTTACAAAGCCCCGGCAGCGTACATCCAAGAAAACACGGAATTCAACTACTGCCTGGCAAGGTCCCGGGTGCGGAACGAACATACGATCGGGATTCTCAAGGGCCGGTGGGCCTCGCTGCAACATCTCCGGCTGGCAATACAAAAGCCTTCTGACATGATGGAGATCATCAGATGGGTCAACTGTTGTGTGACTTTACACAACATGCTTGCCCATCTGGGTGATGCCTGGGACAACTTGGAACGGCCGATTGAAGATGTCCCTGCGACTGGGCCTAGGGGATCACCTGAAGATACAGCAACAGAGCACCGCAATATTGTGCAGGCTCATTGTTTGGAGAAAAACTACGCGCTTGGGGTCTTGCCAATGTGAAGACAGCGGTCTTTTGGATAGAAAACAATGTTTATCTAAGGTTTTTTATTGCAATGAATATTGTTATCATGATCCTCATGTGCTGTTAGTGTTAGTGGATTCATCATCTGAAGATATTCCTCCACTGGGCCGTCTGGTGTGATCTCCCGGTTGGATGTCCACATCCTGAGGCCCCATCACTGGGTCAAGGAGATCCCAGTGTTGGCACACCCTTCGGACATAGACTGTAGGGCAGAAAGATCACCGGCCATAGTTAGAAACAGCCCCAGTAAGGTAGGTAATACTTGTGGTCACACACCCAAGACAATAGGGTCAACTTCCTCACCGGCTCGTGTGGCATGATTGAAAAAATCTCGGGCGCTGTTGTATGATCTTCGGATGACCAGAATACGGTTATTGATACCTATCTCGCAATTGGGGTTAGCGCTTGAGCCAGGAAGATGAGTACTGAAGACTTACCCATGGCATTGCGGTGGTGGATACCGTGCTGTTGCATGATCTCAACAATTTCGGTGCAGAAATCTTCTCGATGAGGTCCGGGGATGGGTGTACTCAACCATCGGTCGTAATTTCCTGGGGTTGAGAGCCAGGTGACCAATATGTCCATGCTGGTGGGGCCGCCATTGACCGCGTCCAGATACCATGATCGGCCTCGGGCTACTGCACTCCGGGTGAGCCGGATGGATTGTCCGTTGCGTAGTTGATCCATGTATGTTTGATCTAGGATGTCGTCCGATCTAGGATGTTGTCCTTGCTTTGTTAGTGTTGATTGAGGTTGTGAACATCGGCCAGTAACGGGTCTTTGGAATTCATAACCCAAGGAGCCAGGAGACCGGTGCCCGCCTGGTACCAGCATGCCTCACCCACATTGTACAGGTGTTCCAACCCACAAGTCGGGCGTCCAGAGTCATCAACGTGTACGTTTGCTCGTACATCTGAAGCAATCATGATTGAATGTGGCCCCAACAGCACTTGGTTTATCGGGGCCCTCTTATGGACACCTTCCGATGGTATGCAAATGATGAGGAGTAGTTGGATTTGAATTTCTTCCTATGGAAAAGATGAGGAAGATGAGGTGATAGACAATCAGAGGGAAGACAAAAAGGATATCGGGTGATAGACAAATAGACCAAATGAGGTGATAGCAAACATCAGGTGATAGACTACCGGAGGGAAGAAAAAAAAGGATATCAGGATATTGGGTGTAGAAAACAGCAGGTGATAGACTACCGGAGGGAAGAAAAATAGGATATAGGGTGTAGAAAACCTCAGGTGATAGACTACCGGAGGGAAGAAAAAAAGGATATCACCGTGCCGGTTTGAGCCAAGTCCGTATGATTCAACAAGGCATCTGCTGGCCACCTGCCTGACAAGCAAAGGCCGGCACCGTCAGATGATTGATCTTCCAATATCAGGTAAGATACAAAATCTGAAAAACTCACTTGTAGGCAGTCTTCCTTCATCCATATACGGCTTTCAATAGACCTTCAACCTCGGCGGCCGTCTTGCCTTGGCTGATCCACTCTCGCGCAGCCTTCATCTTCGATTCGGCCAGTCTCAACTGCCCCTGACGACCGTCTTTGGCCAATGCCGCCTCTTTGTTGTACCGTTCCTTTTCCCATGTAAGCCGCTTCTCCTCCTTCTGCTTCTCCCACTCCATATGCTCCTTGAGGTATACAAACTTCTCTGAGTTTGAGTTTTCAAAGGCAGAAGCCAGAGTTGATCGGGCTCGCGGATTGACTCCCCTGGCAGGACCTGCAGGGCTAGCATCTGTTGACCGTTGATTCGGGAACGCACGGCGTCCTGGTTGAACCGGGTGAGGCGAGTCCGGGGTAGTTGTTTGCCCGTTTGGGTGTCCAAAGGCCGCACCAGATGACCGACCATTTACACCAGCCAAGGACCGTGGGCTGTTCAGGCCAGGTGAGGGGGTCAAGGGAGTGCCACTGAACTCGAGGGGTGGGGGAAGGATGTCATCGGGCAGGCTGAGATCACCGTCCAAAGTTGGCAAGCTTAAATCCGCGGCTCCTTCATGCAGGCCCGGTCCTCTGGGTGACTCTTGCTGTTCGGCAGGAGTGGTTAAGCCCGATGGGGGGGGCTCTTCTTGAGTTTCGTCCCAACCCGGGAAGAAGACCTCCGGCGAGGATGCGGGATCTTGCGGGTTATCGGTATCATCGGCTGTCATATAGAGGTCGGCTCCCACCCCTGAGTCAAATTGGGCGAGCGGAGTAACGTTTGCTTTCCCGCCAAATATGCCGTACATACGATCGTAACAGGGGCATTTTTTCTCCAGAATTTCAGCCAGGGTGGGTAGGTTATCACCTTCCTCGATTCCGGCCCCGGTGTTCTCAGCCCACTCTTTTGCCTTCATAAATCGTTTCTTGTATCCATCGATGCGTTGGCGAAGTTGGCTCCCAGTGAGGTTGAGCCGACGGTTGGAATTATCATTAATAAAAATAGCAAACATCTCGTAAGCCGCCGCCTTTGTTACCTTAGTCGTGCCAACGGAGGTCTTGGACCCATCTCCATAGAGGCGAGTATAGTTGACTTCCTCCTCAAGGTATCCACAGACGTTCTCGTAGTCTTCGGAGCCAAATTGAGGATTGGAGTCTGAGTCCAAAGGCTGGGAAGCCATCTGGGTGGACCCAGGATTAATGCCGGGGGTCGATGAGTTAGCCGATGATCGCTGTCCGGTTGTACGACGAGCTTGACCAACACCGCGAGATCGCAATCGTTTCTGCTTGGCTTTCTCTTGTGCCTTCATCTTCTTCAATTGCACTTGTTCTGCACGATAGGCAATCATCTCTTTCTTGGTTCAACGGGGACGAGTCTTCTTGCCCAATCCAGTTGCGTTTGGTTGAGTTGAATCGGGTAAATTGTTTCCTTGGCGCACAGACATGCTAGAAGGGTCGGGGTCGGAAGCAAGGGTCAGGCCTGACACATCGGGACCGCCGGAGGGAGAGGTATCCAATTGGGGACTCAAGGGGGTCAAGCTAAGCAGACTGGGATCCAACTTCAAAGACAAAGAGGAGCAAGGGTCAAAATCGGAACTAAATCAGAAGAGACCTTGATGCAGGTTGACTTGCCTGACTGATTGACATGATCTGAACGGTTGAGCAGGGATGGCTGTCGGAATGCAGGGGTTTGAGATCGAGGGGATGTCGTGGCAATTGTTACGGAGAGTGTATGTAAGGAACGGTATGTATGGGGCGATGATGTGTAAAGACACCTCAGGCGAGCAGTGGCAGATAGGTGAATAAGGATAAATTTTATCAAAGTTGGTGATGACCAACAATTTTTATGTATGTTGGTTGGTGTTTATGCCGATGATTTTAGCCTAAAATTTAGCCAGAAAAACACACCAGCAAGAAATATTTTTAGGGGGGACCAGAAGTCAAAAAGCTTATCGTGAACCCCCCTAATAGATCCACCAAGCCTACCAATAAAGGTCATCACTGACTCAATTGGGAATGATTCCACCTCACAGAAGCACTGAATGTTGATATAACACACTACACAGGAAAGGAAAAAAAAAAAAAAAAAAAAAAAAACAGAAAATAGAAAATCACCAAAAAAAGGGCCTTAATAAAAAAAAACACGGGTTTTCCGCGTTTACACGCGGTTTTGCTGCGGCACAGCGCTCGCGGTTTCCGCGTTTAAACACGGTTTCCTAATTAAGTTTTTAGGGCATTAATAAAAAAACACTGTTTTTCCGTGTTCACACGCGGTTTTGCTGCGGCACAGCACACGTGGTTTCCGCGTTTAAACACAGTTTTGTATTTAATTTTTTATGGGTTATTTTTTGAGTTTTTATGAATTTTTAAAGTTGTTTCCTACACTTTAAAAGGTGTAGAATTTAATGGTAAAAACCATTTTCCATAAAAATGAATTTTGATTATTAATTATTTTTTTTCACTCATTTCTCAATTAATTGTTTGCATACATGTATGTACCTTATTTTTTATGTTTTTTTGAAATTTTAAATTTATTTCATAGGTTGTAATGTGCTTAGAATTTAATGGTGCAATCTGATTTTCATAAAAATGAATGGTTCATTTTTAATGATGCAATTACACCCATTTTTTCACTTAAATTTTTAGAGCTTAATTTTCATTCTATTTTGACATATTGAATTTTTTTCCTACACTTTCAGACATTTATAAATTTATGGTAAGAATTATTTTGCACCAAAATGAGAACTACATCTTGTATACTGCATTTGACACCGTTTTTTTTATTTAATTCTTCACTTTTACACTCAATTGTTTGCATTGATTTTTTTACCTTATTTTTTATTCTTTTTTGAAATTTTAAAGTTTTTTACTACATTTCAAAGTTTTTAGAATTTAATGGTAACATTCACTTTCCATAAAACACAGCGGTTCATTCTGAATACTGTAATTGGTCTTAAACTTCAATTGATTTTTAAGAGCTTAATTTTCATTTTTTTTTGACATTTTAAATCCATTTCCCACACTTTGAGACATGTTAAAAATGATGGTAAAAATGAATTTGCATCAAAGTGAAAACTATATCTTGAATACTGCATTGGGCACGTTTCCTTAATTAATTCTTACACGCTTACTTATCCTTATTTTGTGGAATTTCAAGTTCTTTTCCTACACTTTGAAAGGTTTTAAAATTGATGGCTTTATCCATTTTGCATTCAAATAAAATTTGTATACGGTAAAAATTATGCAAGAAACGGGGTACACTCACATATTAAGATTGAAGCTTTGAGTTTTAGGAAAATTGGACTTCACCATTAACTTCTACACATTTTTAAATGTAGGAAATAAATTTAAAATTTCAAAAAATGATTAAAATCAAGCCAGTAAAAATTAATTAAAAAACATCAAAAAAAACATTTATCATGCAGACTTCATTACAAATCTTTGGTTTTTATGCAAAATGATTTTTACCATCATTTTATACATGTCTTGAAGTGTAGGCAAAAAGTTTAAAATGTCAAAAAAAGAATGAAAATTAAGCTGTAGAAATTTAAGTGAAAAAATGTTTCTAATTTCAGTATTAAACGTGAACCATTGAGTTTTAAGGTAATTGGATTGCGCCATTAAATTCTGCGCACATTAAAACCTAGTAAATAAATTTAAAATTTCAAAAAAACATAAAAAATAGGGGATTAATAAACGTACCCCCCTTTTCTGCTATCCACACCCGGTTTTTCACACCTGGTTTTCTGCTTCTACACCTGGTTTTCCCCAGCCTTTTTAATTCATTTTTTTGGCAATTCTGAATATGCTAAAAATCTTCTAAAATTGATCATTCTTTTTGGGTATATAAAAATTCCTCAAAAGAGAACTAGTAATATTTTTTTATTTTTCTCACCCATTTTTTCCCAATTTTTTTTTTGACCCTATGAACTCTTGAAAACTTGAGTTAAAGCCTAAACTTATTATTAATTGTCAAGTTTTTTTGAGAGTGTACACTCTTGACGGCCGAGAGGTATGCACTCTTGTGCGTTGAGCTATCAAGCCCAATGTCGAGAGTGTGCTCTCAATGGCCGGGAGGATTCCCTCCCGGCCGTTGAGGGCTGTTTTTGGCTCGACGACCCCCAAAACCCAGTGGGTTTTGGGGAATCGACTCCCTCCCCCTTCGGGGGTTTCAATTTTTTTTATTGAAAATCGTTGGGGATCCGACTCCCAAACCTGCTGGCAGGTTTGGGGGATCGACTCCCAAAATCGGGGGTTTTGGGGGTTTGGGAGTTGACTCTCCAACTTTGGGGAGTCAATTAGCCAAGCCTCTAAAAATAAGGTACAAGCATGTATGGAAACAATCAATTGAAAAAATGAGTGAAAAAAAATAATAATAATCAAAAATGGTTTTTACCATTAAATTCTACGCCTTTTAAAGTGTAGGAAAAAATTTTAAGAATTCAAAAAACTCAATATTAATGGCAAAAAATTTAAATAAAAAAAACGTGTCCAAACGTGGAAACCGCGTCTGCTGTGAACCACATCTAAACACGGAAAAACCATGTTTTTTTATTAAGGCCCATTTTTAACTGCTTAATTTTCATTATATTTTGACATTTTAAAGTTTTTTCCTACACTTTCAGACATTTGAAAAATTATGGTAACAATCATTTTGCATCAAAATGAAAGCTATATCTTGAATATTGCATTTGATACATTTTTTGAATTAATTTTTACAGGCTTAATTTTCATTATTTTTTGGAATTTTAATTTTATCTCCTACATTTTCAAAGGTGGATGTCAGCTTTACTTGTTATGGCCCAGATACTGTCAAAGCTAGTGAGTTTGCTGATAACACCATGTACAAATGTCTCATTTTTCTGATCATCCATTTGCCATCAAAGTGCAAAGGTTGTGCTGATTTGAATCACCAGGGCCCCAGCGGTCCGCATCCCCACTCAGTCTCTGACATCCGTCTCAGGTGACAACTCAAAAGGCTGCTCCAACACCGCTCCAATTGTTGAAAAAAATGGCCCAAATATACTTAAACATTCATCTGGTACCACAATCATAATCAATATTTTCATCTTCTCTCTTGGTACTCTCCTATCTGTTATATTCTTCTGATGGGTATGCTATGGGCAATCCAGTTTTTACCTCATAGTTCTTTTGTTATGACTTGATGGGTGTTTTCAAATTGTTTTTCTCTACTTTCACAGCAAGTTTTGGATTTTTCTGTTCTCTTTTGAAACATGCACAGTGGTTTTTTTGTGTGTCTCATTGTGTATGCAGCTTGATTTGATTACTTTCTTCTAAATGGCATTAATGACCCCAGAGGTTTTTCTGGATGAATGGTTTTTAAATTCAATCTTTGAGAACATTTACCAATTCAAAGAATATTTGCCTTGGGATTCAATTTTGAAAATGGAAAATTGTTTCCATCTTCAAGGCTAAAATTGAAAAAAGCGGAGAGCTGATGTTGAAATTCTTCCCTTCAAGTTCAAGGCCAGAAAATAGTTTTTGGTGATGGTCATGTCTGATGATGAAAAAATTTGAGGCTGATTGTGAGGTTTATGCTACACTGAATTAAATAATATAAGATCAGGTGCTATCACTGTGCTGAAGGACTATCAAAGAAAAATACTACTATTTTTCACCCTTTATATGTGGTCAAGATATCCACACAGGTTAAGTCCACACTCCTTGATGATTAAATGTTTCCAAGGAAGCAATCAACAGGAGATTATGAAAAATTAAAAAAAGTTCATAGGTTAGAAAGGTTAAGCAACAAGATTTGCTAAGAAGCAGCTGGCAAGCACTTGAGATAATTAGCTAATTGTTAGAGATGGCCCTGGCACATCCAGATATCCGGCTGCTTTTTCCCGGGAAATTGCCATCTGCATCCGCATCCGCACCTTCTGGCAGGTATCCAAGTGGGTGTCCACAAATACCCGCCCTCTAAATTGGCGGCAAAGCAACCGGCTGGAAGGGTTTCCTTCCAGTTGGCAAGGTATATACTACCAACGGTGCAACCATTACGAGACACGTACTCGTAATTGCCCGTATCGTACTTTCAAAGTTCGCAATGACACGGAATCGTATCGTACTCATTCTTGAGTACGATACGATGTATTTTTACATAAGCGTACTTCCCCAATAATACGATACACTGTACTTGTAAGATTATGTACTTGGGAAAAGTACGATACGTGACTGATACGGATACGTAACTAGCTGTAATTCTATGTACTCAGATCATCTGACATTCAGCACTCCTAGGGGTACGTAAATTTCACAACTTGGAGTTTGTTTGTGATTCACACCTTGTTTATAACTCATTATCCACCATCAAGAACCAGAACCCCCAAAACAACTTGCAAGATCAAATTACACCAAATTCAGGACAGAAACCCCAGAAATCTCACCTCTCAAACTTAGAAAATCAATCCTCAAAACCTACCTGTGAAACCTTAAAAATCCACCCCTCAAACCCTGCTCATCCCTCCTCTCAAACCTTATTACTCACCCCATCTCTACCTCTCTCTACCCCTCACAGTGCCATTAGGACCCCCAGGAGCCCTTCTTGGACCCCCAGGAGCCCTTCTTGGACCCCCAGGAGGCCAGATCCCTGTTTTTTTTACGTCTCGGAAGGATCCTTGTTTTTTTTACGTTGATCGTTATCGGGCCCTCGGAACCAGGCCAGGACCCTCGGATCCCACTTGGAACGGTCGGAGACGATCCCAGCCCGTTCCTACAACGCCTACACCTTTCCAACGGCCTCGGGTCGTCCGACGACAACCCGATTACCCTTGGATTGCCGTTGAGGGCTCGGAACTAGACCTAGACCGCCCGACCTCACTCGGAACGGTCCCAACGGCCTTGGGTTGCCCCGTTCAAGCGTGGATAGCCTTGGATAGGCCTTGTTTTTGTTTTTTACGCAATCATCATTGGTCCTTGGAACTAGGCCAGGCCAGGACCCTCCGATCCCACACGGAACGGTTGGAGACGACCCTCAGCTTCTTCAACGTATGTAAACTCCGCAGCTCCTGATGTTTTGTCAGCGAAAAAATTATGTAGAAAGGCCTGACAATTTTCCTGTCCTGGTTGCAATTTTTTAATATGATCGTCATCGGGTCCTTGGAACTAGGCCAGGACCCTCCGATCTCGTTTAGAACAGTCGGAGACGACCCCAGCGTTTTTTTAACGCGATCGTCATCGGGTCCTTGGAACTAGGCCAGGACCCTCGGATCCCACTCAGAACGGTCGGAGACAATCCCAGCCCGTTCCTACAAACCCTACACCTTTCCAACGGCCTCGGGTCGTCCGAAAACAACCCGATTACCCTTGGATTGCCGTTGAGGGCTCGGAACTAGACCTAGACCGTCCAATCTCACTCGGAACGGTCTAAATCACGAGTCCAGCCGAATCCAATTGCTGTTGAATTACCATTCAACTGGACTGTCATCTGACAACCCCACCAGACCCCCAGCCCCCCCAGCACACCATCAAGTGCCCCAGGGCCCCACTGAAGGCTTGCAACGGCCCCAGAGGCCCTCCTACATACCACCAACCCCAGAGCAACCTCAGAACTGGTCTAGAACCCCTCAGACCCAGCCTAGAGCCCCCCAGGCCCCTTCCAAGTGCCCAGAAAAGCTCCAGAGCCCCCCAGACCCACTCCTAGTGCCTCAGCAACGCTCCCAGGCCCCCCAGGCCCACTCTGCGCACCCCAGCCACATTCTAGAGCTTCTTAGACGTGCTCTGAGCACCCCAGAAAGGCACCCAAGCCCCTAGACATCCTCCAAGCACCCCAGAAGCCCTAGAAACACACTGAGGACCCCAGCAAGACCCTATAAGAGCCCCAGACGCGCACTGAGAAGCCCAGTGACACCCTAGAGCCCCTACATCTGCACCGAGTGCCCCAGCAACACCCTAGAGCATCAAGGCGTGCATTGAGAGCCCCTGTAACCCCCTAGAGCGCCCAGCACCTAGAAGACCCCTGAGGCACTACTACAGGCCCCGGACGCACTCTGAGCGCCCTAAAAACAACCTAGAGCCCCCCCAGACGTGCACTGAGCACCCCAGAAACATCCTAGAGCCCCAGACGTGCATTGAGAACCCAGACGCCCAAGGTCCAAGTTGTTGATTCATTATTCACATCACTAGCAGATTCAATGGCTCGTTCCCGTCGTATTCTTTTCTCAGCCTCAGCGTCTCCTCTCCCTCTTTCTGGTACCCTTCCGTCTCAGCTTCCATCTCGTCAATCTACCCGGGTTGTGACTCCTGTAAAATCTCATTCAAACTAAATTCGCCCCAATGATGATGCTCGTCGATCCCTTCAAAAACGAAAGCAAAACGTTGGTCGGGCAAATGTGGGACAATCTTTGTCTCAGTTGCAGAGTCAGAACACCCCAAAAAGAAAGAAACACCAACAACTTTCATGCTCATCAACATCCACTGATGGTGTGCCAGCCACCACCACAAAATCTCGCAAGAGAACTTACAAAAAACGTCACCGTTCCCCCACCACTGACACTGAGGCCGATGAGGGCATCCGCTTCATGGATCTCGCTCAAGACTCCGACGAGGAAAACACAAAAATAAAAAAAACACGAGGAAAGAAAGTGTGTAATTTTGACAGAATTGAGGGCTTCTTCAATCCTCCAGAATATGGAAAGGATCAAGTAAGATAATCTTCTGTCCTTTTGTCTGTTGATTGATAATCTGTCTGATTTTTTTTTGCTTCTCAATTTTGTTTGCATAGACTACTGGAGTGAAGCTCTATTACAGTTGCAAATGGTGCACTGGGCTGTTCAAGAGTGGCGAGCAGAGCAAATCAAACCTCACCAAGCACCGTGATGGCGATGCAAGTCGGAATCCTTGCTCAGGCAGAACAGACGCCATCAGAAACGGAGCTCAGTTACCAGTTACCGTCAAAGAACAAAAACATCGAAAAGCGGCAAGGACAGACCTTAGACAAGTATGTGGCCAGTGCTACTTTTGACAACCACGTTTTGAATCAGATCCTTGTCATGTGGCTTGTACTCTCGGCACTCCCTTGGACCCGTATTGAGGACAAACTGCTTCGGATCTCCTTCAACTATGCTCGACCGGGGATCAAATTATATTCACGTACATATGCTGCCTTGGAAGCTCGTAAGCTGTATGTGAACCTGCGGGATACAGTCATTTCTCATTTAAAGGTATTTTTCACTGTAAATTTAACCGGTTTGATTCATTCAATCAGCTAATTGATTTCATTCCCCATTCTTCTTTGCCACAGAATCTCCCATCCAAAATAACTCTCATCCAAGATGTTTGGACGACAAAAGGCAACCACCACGCATTCATGGGGATAGCCGCTGCTTATGTATCAGAGGATTGGGAATTCAAGATATGTCACCTAGGTTTGAAATACATTTCCTGGACGCACAAAGGGAAGTATTTGGCAGTTCCCTTTGCAAACATCATTACAAAGTCAGACCTTCATGAAAAGATAAGTATTCATTTCATTTATCATTTTTTTTATTCCATGGATTGAATCTCTCACTAACACCTCCCATTAAAAACACATCTTGGCTCAGACAACAGACTCAGGCTCAAACAACCGCACAATGACTGCCGAGGTCGATTGCTTGATCACCAAGAAAAAATCTTTCGACCCTAACCTGCGTGAAAATCACATCCAATGTGTTTGCCACAAGATTGCCTTAATCCTTACTGCTGGTTTCAAGGTCCTTAATACGGAGAGTAAAGGCTTGAGGAAGTCAAAAGAGACATTGGGCTATCTTCCGCTCCTAGATTCAATTCCTGAGGATGAAACCGACGGCAACGATTCTGGTGCTTTTGCTTCTGGTGAAGAAGAGATCAGTGATTCGGACGACAATGAAAACTCTGACAACGAAATTAATTTAAACAATAATGGGGAACTCGCTCCATCTCTGGCAAACCCTGACTCCATATCAGGAATACTGACAAAGGTTGATTTTGTCATCCAACGTATTACATCTTCTTCTTCAAAACGATCCGAGTATGACGTGTGGCGAACCAAGCTTGAAAACCAAGGGCCAACTCTCATTGCTGGCTACGGGATTCGATGGAACATCAAATGGGAAAGCCGAGACCGTGCCTACAAGGGCCGCAACGTAATCAGCCGACTCATCGAAAATGAGAAAGACCGGCAAGAAAGAGATGGTGGAAAGAATTTCTTTCATGATCATGAGATATCACGGGGTGACTGGGAGGTTGTGAAGCGACTTAATGACATACTGAGTGTAAATATGAGTTTCATTTTCATGAAGATGCGTGTTTTTCATGACTATTTTTACTAACTGATTCCTTTCACAGGAGTTTTACTTCATAACCAAAAAAATGGAAGGCGACCATTCTTCCGCAGGCCTTCTCCTGGTCGAATATGTCTCGATAAAGGATTTTCTCAAGAAACGAATCAACAATGTGGCCGAACCAGAATTTAAAGCAATGTTACGGAAGATGATTGAAAAAACCGAGACCTACCTACATGAGGTGTTGGTGTGTGATTCGGTCATCCTGGCCACAATTCTGAACCCCTCCTTTCGGCTGTCCATATTCCAAGCCTGCTTTTCTTCCCACTATGACTATGCCAAAGCTTTGCTTCAACAACAATACACCAACCGAAAAGACGAACTTGTTGCCAACATCAATTTAGAAGAACCTTCCCCCCCAGTTACCTCTCAACCACAACCAACTGACCATCATCGACCCATAGACAGCATGGTATTATTCCCGGAATCCATTGAAGCTTCAGTTTCCGATGAGCTGGCCATTTACCTTGGGGGGAAGTACAGATCTCTCCCTGCACAGGCAGGTCAATGCCTCCAATGGTGGAAAGTAAGTGAAACAAAAACATTCTCAACAATTAACATATCATGCATGGTTCTAAGGCTGATTCAACTGTTATTTAATTTAAATCAGGAACACCACAACGAATTTCCAGTCTT